GGGCCTTGGTTTCTTCACGTCCAGAATGCTTTCTTATATAAAATTGTATCTGTCAAATTATTGGGCAAGGAGGAACCACAGTAACAGATAATTTTAAAATCGCAGCAGCTCAAACAACCATCGCTTATTTCTCACTCACCCTCTATGCATCTCCAGTTGGCAAGGGTGCCACTCACTGGAGTTATTTATGGACTTGGCCTTGGGCTGATGGAGCAGCCACCATCTTGCGTGGTGTTGGCCATAGTGCCAAAGAAGAGTTGCCTGTTGATGAATGGTGCACCGATACCTCAAGCTGCCTACCCAAAGCACCTCCCTTCACTTCTGCTCACATGTCATGGGTCAAAGCAAGGAGGTAGGGAGTGGTAATCCAGGTCTCTAGGAGGAACACCTGGGCTATGTAACTAGCAGCATATTTCTACCACTATGTTGATCTTCAAGGAAGTCTGTGAAAAATAGCCTATGGTCAGTAAAGTCCAATTATAAGCCTGTTTCTGTGTATGTAAAAGCACTAGCCTTTACCTAGGGCTGCCCAGGTTCCTGAGCAGAAGGTTGTTTGAGAACTTGCATTTCAAGAAAGAAAAGAACTTGAGAAGAGAGAAGTGGGATGTGGCCAGGGAGATGACCTGGGCCAGATTCCAAAGCTGGCCTTGCTTTTATTTACAATTCTGTTTGTTTCCAGTATATTTGCAGAAAGTTTCCACAGCAGAAATACTTGCAGAATGGCCTGACTACATCTATCTCACTGTTTTTTTGTTTTTTCGTTTGTGTAATCTTTTGAGTTTTAACTCAAAGTTATCATCTGCTACATTCTTTATGTTTCCCTGAACAGGACTCAGAAGTTTGGAATCTTATCTGCTGGTATTGCAACACCAATTTGCAGAAAGCTGTGTTGTTCATTTTGAAATACATATGTTTAAAAGAGAATGAATGATGATTTCCAAGAACTGGATGTCTTGGCAAAGAGTGAAATAATAGAGCCAGTGTAGATGATGGGAAATGACTTCTTGAGATTTCTCCTCTTGCCCAGCCCTCATCAGTTGGGATGGAGGCCAAATTCTGTCTTGGGAGAAGATTGTGTCTGCTTGTTCTGGGAGTAAAGAGTCACAGCCACACTCGAGGCAGGGTGACTTCTGCATCCAGGCACTGCTGGATGATCTTGCACAGGACAAAGCTACCTGCTAAACAGGACTGTATTTGCTAGTGTTAATAGGCTGCAGGAACAGGGGCATGCTGGGAAGATTTGTTCATGGGGTTTATTAAAAGGCCACATGAAATAAGGGCTCCCGTGTCTGGTGGCTGTGGAGACCATTTGGCTGTTACTCATGTGTCTGAGTTATTCCAGGTCAGTGTCTGTGTGCCTCAAATTCAAACTCCCTAAGGGAGAGGGGCTCTAACCATATCTACCTGTCACATTCCACTACAGAGGGCTCCCATGGAGCAGTCACCTCTGTGGTCACCATGACTGGAGCCCAAGGAAGCTCTCTAGAGAGCTCCAGATGGGCTCTCTCTGCATTTCTTGTTCCATTTATGCACTCACTCTTCATTCTGGAGTGGTCTGCCCTGCCCAGCTGTGAACCACATGAAGACACTTAACCTCAGTTTTCTCATTTGTAAAGCAGTGGTAACACTGGCCTCTGCCACCTGCGGTTGTGGTAAGGATGGAGATGACAGAAAAGATCAAATGATTTGAAAATGACTGAGGTCTATTGTCTGCAGCCCTGGTCTAGACATTTTGTGCACATTAACTCAATTCTTCCAGCAACACTTTGAGGCAGGGATTCTCACTTTGAGGAAATCAAGGCCCAGAGAAGCTGGCTAACTTGCTAGTGAGTGGCGGTCCTTACAATGAGCCATCTGATAAAGCCCATGAACGAGATCACTTTGGTGTGCCCTGTTCCCTGTAACCTGAAAATAACTTACTAGCAACCAGTCCTTTCCGCCATGGATCTATGCAGCAGGTGCTTCCTTCTAACTTGCTAATGATCAAGTTTGAACACCAGAGAAGGACTCCAGAGACCATGTATTTAAGCCTGCCTTTTGCAGAGTATGTAAAGCATTAGGTCAATGCAGGTCCCCAACCAAAGCGCTTACTCTGTGTTTGCAATGATCATCTGCCTGCTGGGGCCCCTCACAGAGCCGGGCTGACTGTGAGTGTGAGCAAGTGTGTAGTGGATCTGTGTGGAAGGAATGCATGAGGCTGCAACATCATGGAGGCATTTCCACCCTGACAGCCGTTCCTCAGGTCAGGTGGAGGGTAGAACTCTGTTGGCTGACATGGCAGCTGGTGGAGGCTGCCGAGCACCCAGGTTTGCTACACAGTTCGGGCAGGCAGGGTCAGGCCAGGGAAGGTGCAGCCATCCGCCATCGCTTTTGAGCCTCTTTTGGGTTCGGGGACTTGCACAGGGGCACAGCAGCGTGGCTTGTAAGTTCTTCTTATCTTTATAAAAGGAAAGCCAGGTAAGGTGAAGTGTTCTGCTTTCTGGAAGCCTGGTGGATTGGTCAGAAACCAGCTTCAAAAGGACCCTGACATTCACAAAGAACTCTGAGATAAAGGTAAGGGTGAGATAGAAACACACCAGAACCCAATGTACCCACAAACCACATAGGTGAAAACTGAAAGAAAAGGCTTCAAAATGTTAGGTGATTATTGCATGTGGGTGACAGGTGACAATTTTTTTCCTCCAAATTTTTTTCTGCCTTTTCCTCCTTTTTTTCCTGTTCTTTCTTTTCATTTCTCGCATTTTCTTTTTTTTTAAATTTATATATGACAGCGGAATGCATTACAAAATTCTCGAATTTTCTACAGTGACCAGGTGTTGTCACTATAGAAAAGAGGACAAGTTATTAAAACAGAAAAAAATTATTAAAACCTAGAAAGATTTCTGGAAAACACCTCCTCTCAGGGTGCCCTAGAATAGTAAAGAGGAAAAAAAAAAAGCTGGGGTAAATCCCCATTTAGAAAGTGACATTGAATATGTGTATCTGTGGTTTCTCCTTGTGATTAGGGGACAGAAACAGGAAGCTAGTTTTGGCCCCTGAGTCCCAGTTGCTCTCCCTTCTAGGATAATCATTTCTCTGATAGGTCCCCATGACCTCATCTCATGTGCTGATGCTGAGTTCTGACAATCGTCATCGGCAAAACCCTGGTAATCCCCTGACCCCACTTGCAGTCCCCAGAGACCTCTCTGTATTCTAGGGTTCCAAGTTCCCCTTACAAAGTATTTTCTTTGTTTTTGATAATTTGGAATATGCCTCCCAAAATCAAAATAAATCACTGTCATTCCATCAGTCAAAAGTAATCACAACTAGATGGATGGGGTGACACATGCCTGTAATCCTGGGGAGGCTGAGGCAGGAGGATCACAAGTTCAAGGCCAGCCTCAGCAATTTATCAAGGTCCTAAGCAACTTAGTGAGACCCAGTCTCAAAATAAAAATGAAAAGGGCTGCGGATGTGACTCAGTGCTTTAGCACTCGTGGGTTCAATTCTTGGTATGAAAAAAAAATCACAATTGATGTGGATTTCCTTTTACTGTTTCTTTCTTTCTTTTCTTTGCCTTGATTCCTGTCCCGAACCCCTTGGTTTGTTTCCTAGAGCTGCCTCACCAGGGTCTCCCTCCAGCTGCCAACCTCACTCTCCTGTACCACTGGCAGAGCAAGTTCTACTCCCAGAAACCTGGCCCTGGCCTGACTTGGCCTTGCTTTGCCTTTTCTCAGAAGGACTCACCCTTTACCAGCAAATACAGTAAAAGATCTCTCAGGGCCAGGAGATCCCTGACTCCCTGGTGTTCCTAGTTACAGATGCCCATGGACTCTGAATTTTCCTGCCGTGTGCATGGTATGGATTTGGTCTCCCTTTGGATCCTGTTGACCCGACAGTCCTGAGTTCCTCTTTTTGTCTTTCTGACATCCTGTTGAATTGAGCTAACAGCCCCCTGATTAAATCCCAAACCAGGGCTCTGGAACTTCCATTTGAACAGTCTCCTCACCAGCTGGCCGACCTGTAACATAGTGTTTTGTTTAGGTGGCCAGAAATCGGGAGAACGTTTCCACCTTTGATGGTGAGAGACGGCGATGTCCGAGGTGGTCATTACAGGAAAAGTCTAGGGAGAGAAGTCACTGTTCCTGTGGGATCATGGATGCCTGAAGCAGAGAGGGGTACGGGAGGGATAAGCAAGTGTGTCACCCCCATTCCCAGCCCCCTAAAGAAGACAGCGAGGCATTAAAACTGCATCGTCAACTGAGAAGCTACTCCTTTCTCAGTTGGCATCATCTTAAAGAAAAAGTCTCAACATTGCGCTACCAGGTCTTTAACATCTCTCCAATGCTTCCAAGAGGAAAGGGCCTCACACTCCTAGACTCTCCAGACAGTACCACCAGCTGGAATATACTTACATTGTTTTATTTCTGGTGAGTTTATTTACTTTATTGCAAGTAATTTTTTCCTCTTTCTAATGGCAACATAAAACCACCCTGAAAATTAATCTATTAGAGGGTTTTTGTTTTTGGTCTTGGTTTTTTCCTTTTTGGTACTGAGGATTGAACCCAGGGGTGCTTAACCACTGAGCCACATCCTTAGCCCTTTTTAAAATATTTTATTTAGAGACAGGGTCTTGCTGCGTTGCTAAGTGCCTCGCCAAGTTGCTGGGGCTGGCTTTGAACTCTCGATCCTCCTGCCACAGTCTCCCCAGCTGCTGGGATTACAAATGTGCACCTAATCTATTAGAGTTTTAAAAACTCAATTGTAATCAAAAAGTTAAGCAAGTAAAGGACAGGTGGGTCTCAATTATAGTCTCAATTATGGCAACAACAAAACAAGTGACGTAGTGCCCCAGTGATTGACATTTGGAAACCTGTCCAGAAAGAAAATAGTACAGAAAGTACTCTCAGATCCTGGAGTTTTTGGATTTAAAAACTATGTTATTAGCAATTTCACTCATTCCTTCACCATTCTGCACAATAGCATTTTCAAAACACCTTTCTTCTTTTTCAATTTTGCAGATTCCAGAAAGAAATTGAAGTTTTAAGGCGAGAAGTGAAATATTTTTACTTCCTTCCCAGAATGATGCCAGACACTTTAAAAGGTATTATTAACCATTAACTTAAATTTAATGTTATCAGCTGATATGTCTTAAAGGAATTGATTTTCTAAAGCTGTGGCTCTTAAAAGTGGGTCACAGAATTGACCACAATAAAAAAGGCTGCATTCACATCTAATAGGTTAGCATGCTGTTAGGAGAATAGTAACAAATCATTCTCATCCTTTAAATTCATTTTGGTAAGAATCTCTTGCTCTTCTGTTGCTCAAAGTTTTATTTTATATTGTCACTTGCTTAGTCACTCAGGTTAAAAAAGGGAGGTTATTATGTGAGATACAACTGAGACTCTATGAAGACTTAGCAATTTGGTAGGTAAATTAAGAAGAAGGCCAGGCGTGGTGGTACACGCCTGTAATCCCAGTGGCTTGGGAGGCTAAGGCAGGAGGATTGGAGTTCAAAACCAGCCTCAGCAAAAAGTGAAGCACTAAGCAACTCAGTGAGACCCTGTCTCTAAATAAAATACAAAATAGGGCTGGGGATGTGGCTCAGTGGTTGAGTGCTCTAAGTTCAACCCCTGGTATGAAAAAAAAAAAAAAAAAGAAAGAAAGAAATGGAACTATGTTAGCGTAGAAACTCACAAATGACTTGTTAAACAAAAATTTGAAAACCACTAGACTTGAATGTTAGCAGGCATGGTTCATGAGACATAAATGAATAACACTGTTCAGAGGTCTATGAACTTTTTTTAGCTCAACAATAATAATTTTACACTATTTCTGTGAAATGTATGGATCTTCCTACCTGGGCAAAGGACCAAGTGGTCAGTTCAAGGTCTTTCTGCTTCCAAGATTTTGATTCTTTCTTCACATATACGGATAACCAAAGATGTAGCTCAATGATCTTAGTTTGTTGTTGCAAGAAAGCAAATCAATGCAATTTGGAGATAACTCAGATGAACCCATTTTTAATACCCAGCTAAAATAACTTGGGTCCCTGTTCCTACCAAGACTGGAAATTCATCATGTTCATGAGGTTTTCAAGGTTTCCAGAAAGATGCCTCTCCTGGTCACCTCACACTAAGAACCCATGTTCCCTCTGTCCTCTCAGTCCACACATGGCCATTGCTCCTCCTTCCTCCCCATGGTGCTTGTATAGAACAGACTTTACTGAAGGTATGAAGATAGTAGGGTCAGCGGAGGTCTATGGCTCAACACAGAAGGGGCAGTAATGACACATCGTTGTCCCTAGGTTTCTTGGCTCTGGTCACCATAGGAGTCCTCATGCAGGCTGTTTCCTTGGGCCATTTTCTGCGCACTCTGTATCTCACCCTCCCCTGTAGTTCCTCTGTTCCCAGTTCTGAGATTGCTGTGCTCATCACGTGGAGAATGCAGACACCTCCCATCCCAGTTAACCTTGATATGTAAGATCATACACCTGTCCAGCTCGATCACAGTCTAGAATTCAGGCACACTTTTGCTTTCTCAAAGAAGATAATAAAAATTAGGGAGCTTTGCTAAACAAGAGGTGGGTGCTTTTGTTCAGTTACCCTAGTAATTATTAAAAACCCACAAGCCAAAAATTAAATATATTTTTTTTCTGGAATGCATCTCAGATAAAAGTCATAAGCATGCCTCCGTCCTGCTGTAAGTAAAGAAATCCCGTGGGAGAGACAGCTGGGGGAACCCTTCCAGGGCTTTTGCTTTGTTGATCACTTCCTTTATCACTTTAGAGTCTGCACTGGGAGGCGGGGACCCTGAGGGTCCTGAATCCTGATTGCCCTTGTACCAGGAAGACACCTGCAGCTAACGATGAATGTGGGAAAAGTAGCTATTTGCTACTTTAACTATGGAAACACAGGAGCACCGTGAGAGCATCCCAGCTGGTTCTGACTCCTACATCAACTTGTTGAAGATCAACCGGGAACTTCTGGTCACTCACATCCGTAACACTCAGTGTGTGGTGGACAACTTGCTGGAGAATGACTACTTCTCAGCTGAGGATGCAGAGATCGTGGGTGCCTGCCCCACCCAACCTGACAAGGTGCTTGGTGATGGGATTGGTACTGGCAGGACTTGAGCCCCTGAAGCTGGAAGGGTCTTGTCCCTTCTGGCCTGAGTCAGGGGTTTTGTGAGTTTAGTAAGCGGGGAAGAATTTCACGTTGAGTTTATTTGTTGTTGTTGTTGTTTTAATTTTTTTAACCAAAAATATCTTTATTTTTTTAATCTTCAAAAAAAACCTAATTTCTTTTTTTTCCAAGATAATCATGATTAACTTAGAAAAAGGGCCATATAATACATTTTCAAAGTATTTCCCTTTAACAGGAAAATGAGCTTTAGAGAATCTAAACATTAGAAGATGTTTTACAAAATCTATTTTGTTGCTATTACAAACAAAGTGGAATCTAGCATAAGTCAAGGAAATTCGTTTGGACTCCAAGTCCTTCTCCTCTAGGAATCAGCATTGTTATATTATTTCCCTTTAGCAAAATCTGATCTAATTTATTAATCCTCTTCCTTCTGGTGTGATTTCATTTCCATTTAGCAAAATCTGATCTAATTTAGTAATCCTCTTCCTTCTGGTGTGATTTTCATTGTATCAGTAAAAGCATTTGGGGGCTGGAGCTGGGGCTCAGCTGTAGTGCACTTGCCTGGCCCGTGTGAAGCACTAGGTCTGATTCTCAGCACTGCAACTAAATAAACAAAATAAATGTCTATCAACAACTAAAAAAAAAAAATTAAAAAAAACCTAGGCCACCACCACTTTTTAAAAGGATGCTGACAAAGTCATCAAATCCTAGAAATGTTCCAACAATTTCCTTCTCACTCTTCATCACAATGTGAATGCTTGATCCTATACACTTGTCCACAGGCTCTAGTGGCAGTAGCTACGACAGGTTGGTGGTAGTGGTAGATGCCATGGATGAGCCGGAAGTGGTCAGCCCATGCTGAGGTCTTGTTAGAGCGTCAGTGCTCCAATTATTGGGTTCTTTTCATGGTTATGCATATCAGTTCCGTGGTTGTGGCTGGAGCAAGCTCTTAGATCTAGCTTTCATTGCCATATATATTGGTTCCAGACAACTTATGGTTAAATCCACTTTAAATGAATGGGAGAGAAAAAGCAGATGAGCACAGAACACTAGCAGTGATGGTCATTCTGTGCCTTGAAGCCCTATGGGCTGCTGGTAGCAGGCTAGGACTCAGGATGGACATGGCCTTGTGTTTAGGAAGGACTACATCCAAGGTGGGTCCCCAAGGAGGAGGTCTCCACGTTCCATTGTAGACAATGTAGCAGCAACTAGTTTCACCTAAGTTTGGTGTTACCTTCTGAAAAAATAGAATTGAGACCCATAACTCCGTCTCACTTAAAGGAATGACAGAACTTATTTGAAACTCAGTAGCACACTTATTTTCCCCCTGCATTTTTAATTTAAAAAAAAGGCTACTTAAAACATATAATACATATGGGGGTCTGTTATCCTCTTGCTGCATGGCCCAGCTGCCGCCTCATTAGGCTTCAGGGTGATTTTCTCCCTCTCCATAATCATTCCTGATGGCAATAGTGCTAGGTTAAGATAAAAAGCCGGGATTCGGCCTGGTAGTGGAATACTTGCCTTCTATGTATGAAGCTCTGGGTTCAATCCCCAGGGAAAGCAGACAGAGAATTCCATGGGTGGATATGGTTCTAGTCGTGAGTCTAAACTTTTTTATTTTTAGGCTCATGGAAGCTTCCCAGTTTTGCCTCTTGCCAAGAAGATCAATTTAGAAGATGCTAGGCTTCTAATGCATCAGATTTTCATATTGGCTTAGTAAGAGCTCAGAGCCCTGAACTAAGCCCACCGAGGTATCTTTCTGTCAGGAAGGACCCCTCATGCCAGCTCATAACCCTTCTGCTTGTGCTGCCACCAGGTCCGAAAACTTCTGGACCTGGTCCAGAGCAAGGGTGAGGAGGTTTCTGAGTTCTTCCTCTACGTGCTCCAGCAACTTGCAGATGCTTATGTGGACCTCAGGCCGTGGCTATTGGAGATCTGCTACTCTCCTTCCCAGCTCATTCAGAGCAAAACTATTGTCAACACCGACCCAGGTATGAGTCAGCTCCAGGGTGACTACAGGCACCTGTGCACAAGGACAGTGGGTCTGGAAATGCTGTAGCACTGAGACCCAAGTGGGCATAAAAGTCAGTCTCGTATTCCACCTCAAGTTGGAATAGCACCAGATAATAAAATTAATTTAATTCTTGCTAGGCACTGTAACACATGCTTGTAATCCTGGATACCTGGGAGGCCGAGGCAAAAGGATTGCAAGTTTGAGGCCAGCCTTAGCCATTTAGCGAGACCCTGTCTCAAAATAAAAGATAAAAAGGACTAGGAATGTGGCTCAGTGGTAAAGCACCCCTTAATTTAATGTCAGTACCAAAAAAAAAAAAAAAAAAAAAAAGATAGTTTGACCTTGGAAACAGAAGCAAAGAACATACCTAGAGAGCCAGGTGTATGTTTAGGGAGAACAAGGCCAATGGCCAACAAGCAGACTTTTAGGGCCAGGGATGGACTTGTTCCTGTAGCTGCCATCCACAGCCAGCGTTTTGCTCTTATTGCTCCTTCCCCTATGAAAAAAGGAAAAATATTCCATGGTCAGTAGTCCTCTCAAAGGACTTCTCCATTGGTTCCTTTAGCCAGTTATTTCCTAGCCTTTAAAGTATAATTCACTCTATAAGAAGCTGCATGCAAAAGACTAAAATCATAGGAAAAGCCGATTTAGAGAGAAAGAAAGCAGAGCAGTAAAGGTGGGGGCAGGGATTGGCCGCAAATAGGCATGAAAAATCTTCAGGAGTGCGATGGATGTATTCTAGAACTGGATCGTGCTAATGTTTGCACAACTTTATACACTTGTAAAAGTCAATGATAAGTCTATAACACTAGTGAGTGAAATTTGTGGTATATAAATTACACTTCAATAAAGTGGTAAACAAAATGCAACTCACTTTACAAATATTAAATAGGCAACCAAGTTGGAAAGTTGATGGGAAAAGGATTGGAGATGAATCTGGAAATATACATGGGTACCCAATTTTGGCTAATTGAATTATAATTAAGACTATTATAAAGGAAAGTAGGGAACAGCCTTTTGTTCGGGGAAGAACCACTTGCTTTGTGGCATTAAGTCTCATTCTTGTCACTCAGGTTTGCTGGGAGCATGGCACCCATGTGAACATCTCTGCCCCTGTGGGCTGCTCAGACCTTACCCAGTCGCTATGCCAAACATTGGTAACCCAAGGCCCACAGCTTGGGTGCCAGGGCTGGTGCTGCCTTCATCTTAGTGTACTAGTTGTGGTATTTTAGGTGAGGCACGCGGCTCCTTTGTAAACCATAATGTTCATCATTGTATAAAAAGTTTTGGCCTCTGGCTTTTGAGACCAGCTGCTTTAACAGCTATGTTGCAAGCAAAAGAAAGGTCAGGGTCATTTTTTCTTTAACAGTGAAATTTCCAATGGGAACTGGCTCGTGGTATTTGAACAAGGCTGAGGGATGGGGCAGGGAAGCAGGGCCATCTGGCCTGGCCCTCCAGTGTAGGGGCTTCTGTCTTCAGCTAGAGTTCAGTGACAACACTGCAGAGGAACAAGAGGCCTATCTCAGACTCTGATCCCAGTTGAAGTGTGTCGCCCTCTAGCGGGGCTAAAAAGGAAGGCAAGCAGAGGGATGGAAACCTGGAGATGCTCAGTTTCTGGAGTGTGGGCTCTTCCAGGTTTCAGAGGGCTGGTATTGAGGAATGCCTGCACTGAGCACCCCAGGGGCCCTGGGGGGTGTTTGGTTTGCTTGAGGGCTTGTCTTTCCTCCTTGATATCTCCCTGTTTGATGTGGTTTCCACCTCTCTCTCTCTGCCTCTCACCCCGACACTTGCCTGCCACCCGTCTCTCCAGTGAGCAGGTACACCCAGAAGCTGCGGCACCAATTGGGTTGTGACTCCAAATTCATGCTGTGTTATGCCCAAAAGGAGGACCTGCTGCTGGAGGAGATCTACATGGATACCGTCATGGAGCTGGTGAGCTTCAGCAACGAGAACCTGGGCAGCCTGGGCAGCCTGTCCTGCCTCCTGGACCACAGCTCAGGCGTCCTCAACGAGCAGGGCGAGACCATCTTCGTGTTCGGGGACGCGGGTGTGGGCAAATCCATGCTGCTGCAGCGGCTGCAGAGCCTCTGGGCCTCAGGCCGGCTGGACATAGGGGTCAAGTTCTTCTTCCACTTCCGCTGCCGCATGTTCAGTTGCTTCAAGGAGAGTGACACGCTGTGCCTGCAGGACCTGCTTTTCAAGCATTACTGCTACCCGGAGCAGGACCCCGATGAGGTGTTTGCTTTCCTGTTGCGCTTTCCCCACGTGGCCTTCTTCACCTTCGATGGCTTGGACGAGCTGCACTCGGACTTCGACTTGAGCCGAGTGCCTGACAGCTGCTGCCCCTGGGAGCCCGCCCACCCGCTGGTCCTGCTGGCCAACCTGCTCAGCGGAAGGCTGCTCAAGGGCGCCAGCAAGCTGCTCACGGCCCGCACGGGTGTCGAGGTGCCCCGCCAGCTCCTGCGGAAGAAGGTGCTTCTCCGGGGCTTTTCCCCCAGCCACCTGCAGACTTATGCCCGGAAGATGTTCCCTGAGCGCCCTGCGCAGGACCGCCTGCTGCAGCAGCTGGAGGCCAACCCCAACCTCTGCAGCCTGTGCACCGTGCCTCTCTTCTGCTGGATCATCTTCCGGTGCTTCCAGCACTTCTACACCACCCTCGAAGGCTCCCCGCAACTTTCGGACTGCACGGTGACCCTGACCGACGTCTTCCTGCTGGTCACCGAGGTCCATCTGAACAGGACGCAGCCCAGCAGCTTGGTGCAGCGCAACACGCGCAGCCCGGCCGAGACCTTCAGCGCGGGCTGGCGCACACTGCGCTCGCTGGGGCAGGTGGCTCACAGCGGCATGGAGAGGAGCCTCTTCGTGTTCACCCAGGAGGAGGTGCAGGCCTCCGAGCTGCAGGAGGGGGACCTGCAGCTGGGCTTCCTGAGGGCCGTGCCAGAAATGACCCCTGAAGGGGGACAGCAGTCTTATGAGTTTTTCCACATCACCCTCCAGGCCTTCTTTACCGCCTTTTTTCTCGTGGTGGACAACAAGGTGGGGCACCGGGAGCTGCTCAGGTTCTTTCAAGAGTGGGCGCCTCCTGGAGAGGCAGCGGTAGAGTCCTGCTATCCTCCCTTCCTTCCTTTCCAGTGCTTCGGGGGCGGCAGGCTGGCACGTTCTGATCCCTTCAAAAACAAGGATCATTTTCAGTTCACCAACCTCTTCCTGTGCGGGCTGTTGTCCAAAGCCAGACAGAAACTCCTGCAGCACCTGGTGCCTGCTGCCACCCTGCGGAGGAAGCGCAAGGCCTTGTGGGGGCACCTGTTTGCCAGCCTGCGCGCCTACCTGAAGAGCCTGCCCCGGTGTCATTCCGGGGGTTTCAGCCAAGTGCAGGCCATGCCCACCTTCCTCTGGATGCTGCGCTGTATCTATGAGACGCAGAGCCAGAAGGTGGGGCAGCTGGCGGCCAAGGGCATCTGCGCCAACTACCTCAAGCTGACCTTCTGCAATGCCTGCTCCGCTGACTGCAGTGCCCTTTCCTTCGTCCTGCACCACTCCCGCAAGCGGCTTGCCCTTGATCTGGACAACAACAATCTCAACGACTATGGTGTGCGGGAGCTGCAGCCTTGCTTCAGCCGCCTCACCGTTATCAGGTCAGACAAGGGTGGGGTGGGGCTTGGAATGGGGCCAGGACTGGCATCACTGGTCAGGATCCTCTAGTCTGTTGTCCCCTAGAACTCACAGTCACTGGTCTTGGAACATCTGGACTTTCTTTCAGGGTGACAGAGGGCAAGGACTAAAGAGAGTCAGAACTGGTCCTCCCCAGCTGGGTGCACTTGAACAAGCTGCTTAGCCTCTCTGAGCCTTGGTGAATTCCTCTCGAAAGAGGAGATGCTCATAATCCCAGCAATCACAGTAAGAACAACTTAGTTTATTGAGGTTGGGTGAAGCACATTACCAATATTACCTTATTTAATGCTCTTCACTCTATAAAGTAGGTACTATCATTGTCTCCATTTGGGTAAATGAGGAAACAGAGGCACAGAGGAGATAATTATTGACTCAGATCACATAGCTGAGACAGGGTAGAGCCAGAATAAAGATGGCATAAAGAAGCTATCTTTTAAGACCAATTGAAGGATTAGAGATAGCCTGTGAAAAGTTTCTGGCGTGAGGGAGGTTTCGTGACTGCAGAGAAAGCAGACCTGGAGCTGCTTGGCATGAGTTGCCTTTCATGGTCAAATCAGCAGCCCTATTTGCTTGGTGAAAATTCTGCCACATGGTAGTTTTTCCATTTGAGGGTTTTCAGGAAAGAGGCCAGTCTGCTCTTGTCTATTAGCATTTCCTGCTTAGAACAAACCTTGTCAGTCTTACCAGCCTGGAATTCTCTATTACTTGGCTCATATATTTCTGAAGAGCAGTGGGGATTTGCACCTGCCTCCCAGGGCCTGATGTACTGGTGCCAGAGAGGAATCTGTGTGGGCACATGGAGTGCCAGGAGCTGCAGGCTTCCCTGGCCTGGGAATTGAAAGCCTGGAACCTGTCCTCTGCCCTAGCAGCCAACCGCTCTCTTCTGCAGCCTTTGGCAATCTGTCATCCTGCGCCACCTTGCACCCATCCTATGAAAGAGAGACTTGGCAGCAGTGTGGTGGTCCTGATCCATTCTGCTGTCCCCAGGAAAGGAAAAACAGCTCACAGGAAAGTAGGAGACTATGGGCGACTACGGGGAAGCTCTCTGATTTCCCCCGAGAGTACCCGATAGGATTCATTTCAGCTGGAGAGTTAGACAAACTACAAAATCTTGATGTCTTAAATAAGTTTTAAGCTTATTTCTCTTTTTATGCAAAGGCTAGAGGTAGGTAATACAGAGCTGGTATAGTGTCTCCATAACCATCAGGAGCCCAGGTTCTCTTCTGCCTTGTTCTAATGCCATTCTCACTATCTCGTTTCTATGCTTTAACGCAACATGGCTACCCATGCTCCAGTCAGCAATCTAGCCACCAGGACAAAGGAAAAGGCTAAAAAGAGCAAACCTTATTATTTTAAAAAGACTGTTCAACTACTGCTAATGATACTGTTTCTTCAATTTCACTGGTAGAATTGAATTGTATATGTCAAGTAAAAAAGGAGGGAGGTTTCTATTGCTAAGAAAGCATAGACACTGGAAGTGACTAATAGCCTCTGTCAACCTGGGATGATCATACAGGACATGTGCACACTGTACACCACCACCAATCTGGCTACAATAGAGGTAAGGGTCTGGAGTGTCTGACCTGATCATTTTGATGTGGCCTAAAAATCAAGCTTTTACCTGTTTGGCCTTTAATTTATTACAGAAGTCAGCTTGTGGACTAAATTCGGCCCATGGCTTGTGTTTGTCAATAAAGCTTTATTAGAGCCCAGCCACACTCTGCCGCGCGACCAGCACGCTAGCTTCATACTAGAGGTCCTAAGCATAGAAGTTAACTAGTGAGATCAAAATAAACACACATAAACTCAATTTACTTTTTCTTGACCAGGTCAGAGACGGCCCCCTCTGGCTCCTGCCTCGAGCCACCTGGTGGGGTAGTGAGGTTTACACAAGAGACTAGCAGGAGAGAGGAAGGGCACGCCAGGGAGTGGCCTTTTATTGGGGAACAAGAAATTCAGGGGAAAATTCCATCCAATGAAGGTTGAGGGGGACAGCATTCCACGGTCAGGGTCAGTGATTGGTCTCAGGGTCAATGGTCAGTCATACCCCACACGGATGGGCTCTCGCACCTAAAAAGGGTGGGGATTAGTTCTGACACAGCTTGGCCAGAACGCCTCACACCCAGTCAGGGAGGTGCCCAATCACGTGCGAGAACGGCTTCCCACACCATACCACTTGATTACTTACTGGCTGCTTTACTGCCTTGGTCAGATCCTTTATGGAACGAGGACAGTGAAGCAGTGGTGGGGCTGGGAACCAGCTGCAAAGCCTAAAACATTTGCTCACTGGCCCTTTATAGAGGTTTGCTGACCCCAGCCTCTTCCCTCTGATTTAGAAACTGCCCAAATTTGTCATTGTCTTTGCTGTTGTGTTTCAGACTCAGTGTCAACCAGATCACGGATAGTGGTGTGAAGGTGCTGTGTGAAGAGCTGACCAAGTACAAAATTCTGGAGTATTTGGGGTATGTCTTTCTCAGGAACACTGGGCCAACTACTTAGTAATGATACTAAGCAGCCGAAGTTGCCATCCATATGGGTCCCCAGCAGGTTGGCCAGGATCAGGGCGGTGGGTGGCAAGTGCCTGGGATCTGTTTCTGTCTCAGACTGAATTCTTGCTGAGCCTCAGATTCCTCACTTATAAATGGGGATCCTAATCCATGCAGGTCATCTAATACCTGGTTATTGAAAGATGCTAAGAGGAAATACATGGGGGTAAGTTTTGTAAACATTAAAATACTGTTTGTGACCAGACACAGCGGCGCATGACTATAATCCCAGTGGCTCTGGAGGCTGAGGTAGAAGGATTGCAAATTCAAAGCCAGCCTCAGCAATAGCAAAGCACTAAGCAACTCAGTGAGACCCTATCTCTAAATAAAATACAAAATAGGGCTGGGGATGTGGCTCAGTAGTCGAGTGCCCCTGAGTTCAATCCCCAGTATTCCCCCGCCAAAAAAAAAATACTGTTTATGTATTAGATTTTCATACTGTGAGTCCATAATCCCTCCTCCAGAACCCTTGGGTCAAGCCAAGGATCAGGGTTCGGTGTATTTGCTTTGTAGTAGTGACATGGCCAGAGGGGTCCAGGGCAGCACCCCATTATCCTTTACCTTGATATTTCTGCAGAGAAATGTGTGAATGTTCAGACCAAGTAGGGTAAATAGAGATCATAAATAGGTTCACATTGGTTGCCAAAACAACTATGAGACACTTTAGGTTTTCAGAGCCTTTGGGATTGTGGAGTTTGAGATAAGGGATCTTGCCCACCCCACCCCACCCCATCCCACCCAGGTTACCACTGTCTCCATGAGCGCAAGTGGTTGCTCAGCTGTGTTGGGCCTCAGTCAGCTCCTTCATGGAACGAGGACAGTGAAGCAGATGATCCCGGGGCCACCTCTCTCTCCACTCAGGAATGCTGTGTGACAATGGGGTCCTCAATGCCTCAGCTTTATTGCTGAATTGGAATTGAGTGGTAAAATGACTAAGAGGTAAACATAGAGAAGGTTCTGTGTGCCTGCCTCTTAGTCATTCAGAAAGAATGTCTTCAGAGAGAAACTTCTCCTCAAGAGACTGACTGTGTGCTGATGGACATATCATCATTTGCATGAATGACTTGGTGAACCAGGCACTTCCCTGCCAAGGCTTTGCACCATGTCGCATGCTCCTCATGACAACCAACCCCATGAGGAGCTATGATTGTCACCCCCACTATAGACAGAGAGACTGAGGCAGAGGCGGCCAGTGGCGGAGCTGGTCTTGAAGCCAGGCTGAGACCACACAGTCCTGTGTGTCCTTTCAACACACTTTGAAACTCAGTAAGCAGCACACATGAAAGGGTGTTCATATGACCTTGGGAGTCATGAAGTGACCTGACTGTGCTTTCTCTTCAAGTTTATACAACAACCAGATCACAGATGTGGGAGCCAGGTACGTCGCCCAAATCTTGGATGAATGCAAGGCCCTCACCCACCTGAAGTAAGTAAGTGGGGTCTGGTGTGAAGTTCCTTAGTAGCTTCTTTTCTTCTTCGATTCTTTGGGTAACCCTTCCGTTATTAGAAGAATAAATGTCACTGTAAACAGCCATTATCCTCAAGTCTTCTGCCTGCCCCAGGACCATACTGGTCAAATGCAGGAGACCTGTTGTGTGGAAAGTGAGCTTGTTCTGCAGAGAAAGCATGACCAGGCGAGAGGCTCAGATTTTGGAAGGGACAGCCAGCTGAGGGAAGGGGGCAGGAGGCAGGGAAAGCTTGGCACTTCAATTTCATTAAAGACTGACCAAGCAGAAAGACCTATCGCCCTTTCTCGAATACCAGAGAAAAAGATCTGTCTCCACCCTCAGGGAACTTACCATGTGATGGCAAGCCAGAGCTTGATCCTTGGCCCTGTCATAGAAATGCCCTGCCAAAGGTGACAGAGTGCCTTGTTCCACCTGGCGATGGAAGCACCCCTTGAGCATGAGCAATTGAAGTGGGCACTTCCAGGCCTCCTGGTGGAATGGATGGTCCTGAGGTCATGTAAAGAAGCCCAGGAGGGGGCTGGGGATGTGGCTCAAGCTGTAGCGCGCTAGCCTGGCATGCGTGCGGCCCGGGTTTGATCCTCAGCACCACATACAAACAAAGATGTTGTGTCCGCCAAGAACTAAAAAATAAATATTAAAAAAAAAAAAGAAAGAAGCCCAGGAGGGCTCAGGTCACTAACTTTCTGCAGAGATTGTGGGCCATCCCCTGCAGAGGAGCCCTGACTGGCTATCCCCAAGGCTTCAGGTGATTTCCTAAGAGGAGGCCCAGGGCTTGGCTGCTGTACATCCCAGGAGCAGGAACAGACTGGCAAGAGGGGCTGGGAGGGGCTCCATGCCGGGGAGGAGGGAGGCCCGTATTGGAGTCCCTACCACACAGCTGGAGGCTGACTGTGCGGGGATTTTCTGCAGACTGGGGAAAAACAAGATATCTAGCGAAGGAGCGAAGTGGCTGGCCCTGGCTGTGAAGAACAGTACATCCATCTCTGAGATTGGGTGAGTAGAAAGGGACGCACACAAGGGGTGTGTGACCTGCTGGGTGTATGTGGGTGCCCAATGGTCTTTTGTACATCAATGTAGCAGGACTGCTGGGTCTGGCTGTGAGGAGGCAGAAACAGAGATGTACCAGCAGCTTCTTCATGGAAATGGTGTGGGAAGACCCAGGGTTGATTATAAATCTGACTGCACAGACTTTTCTAATTAACTCATGCAAACTCAGCATTATTGCCACCAGCAAATGGAGGGAGTTATTCTAGCTCTATGTGATGGTTAACACAGGCAGATGCTCTTACTTTAAGGAAATCTATCCTCTGAAGGTTTTTTTTCTTTCAATTTTTTAAATCGTGGTAAAATATATATAAAATTGACCATCTTCACCATTGCTAATTGTACAGTTCAGTGGGATTAAGTACTTTCATATCATTACGCAACCATCACCACCATCCATCTCCAAAATTCTTTTTATCTTGCAAAACTGAAACTCTTCATCCATTAAGCAGTAACTCTCCTTTCCTCCCTCCCCTGGCCCTTAGCAACCCCCCCCCCTCCCCCCCGCTCTGCTTTTTGTCTCTTTGAATTTGACTACTCTGGGCACCTCCTGTAAATGGAATCACATAGTGCTTGTCTTTTGGTGATGGCTTATTTCAGCTTACATGATATTCTCAAGGTTGGTCATGTGACATGCCAGCTTCCTTCCTTCCTTTTTTTTTTTTTTTTTTGATGTGTGTGGGGGCATACCAGGGATTGAATTTAGGGGCACTTAGCCACTGAGCCACATCCCCTGCCCTATTTTGTATTTTATTTAGAGACAGGGTCTCCCTGAGCTGTTTAGTGCCTCACCATCGCTGAGGTCCTCCTGCCTCAGCCTCCTGAGCCTCTAGGATTACAGGCGTGGATCACTTTGCCCTGCGCTTCCTTCCTTTTTAAGACTGAATAATGCTCCATTTATGTATGTTTGTACCCTGAAGGTGACACACGGGTAGTTCCTTTCTGAGACAGTCAGGAGCTGAGGCTTTTGACGGGATAGCTCATCCACCCATCCAGCAGCAAGCATTTGGTTGCTTCCATATTTAACTGTCACAAATTATTGTGTATAAGGCTCCTATGAACAAAGGCATACAAAGACATAATCTTTGAGATCCTGCTTTTAATTCTTTTGGAAATGCTGAATTATGTGATGATTCTATTGTTAATTTCTCAAGGAGCCCTTGTGCTGTTCTCCAGGTGCCTGTTCCGTCTTACATTCCCATCCTGCTCCCCGGCATCCTCACCAACACTTGTTTTAATAGTAACTGCCATCCTAGTGGATGACAGGTGGCATCTCATTGAGGTTAAGAAGCTTCTGAACTGTATCATTATAATTCTATGGGATTATAAAAATAATGGTAATTTTATTTTAAAACTGTGGAAAATATAAAAAGTAATTTTATTTTCAGAAATAATTACTGGTAGCATTTGAGACTATTGAAGCACTCCCACTTTCTCTTTCCCCCACTATTATTTTTTTTAACAGGGTAGAGGTCAGACTACATGTACAGAATTTTATCCTTCATTTTTCACTTACTCTCAGGTCATGAGTAGTTTGCCACCTTATTAAACATTTGATACCATTCAGTTGTATAGTTTTGCATTTTTTAAGCAAAAACTTAAAAACTCTTGTTCAGGGGCAGCAGCAGGCCTTGCCTGGAAGGACGCAGGCAGGCAGCTGCTGGACCTGTTGTTGAGGCAGCCATGGTTGTGTTGTGAGTGGGCCGGGCAGACTGCTTTCTGTAAATGGAGGCCCCTTGTCCTATTAGGAATAGCTGACGTTTTTTACAGGCTGGATGGTGTTCTAAATGCTTTGCGTCTGTTAACTTACACATCCTCACACACAACCACTCTATGAGGGAATGCTCTTATCATACCCATTTTACAGATGAGGAGACTGAGGCCCACCGTGTTATGTCATTTTTCCAGGGATCCACAGGTAGTAGGTGGCAGAGCCAGGATGGGAGACTGGCACCTTACCATGCAGACCATGTTAGCCAGATCTCAGATCACCCATTCTGGGGACAAAAGTCAGCTTCATTGTTGCAGCTGCCCACCACCTTGGTGCCTGACTTCCTGACATTCCTCTCTACATACAAAGAGTGCTGCTGGTGCAGTTGGTGCCCAGGGGTCCTGACCCTTGCATCCTGAGGACACTTTGCAGGTGCTGCTTGCACCACTCAGTGTTGCACATGGCTGTCCTTTCAGGCCAGCATGGACTTTTGTACTCTGAAGGTGACATGCAGGAGCTGAGACTCTCAACTGGCAGCTCTCCAAAACTTTGCAGTGAGACCTGGTCTCTAATTGTGCAACTTCCTGATTGACAACATCTGTTCACAAGGTCTCCACTGCTGTTTATTCTCTCTTTTTTTTTTTGGTGCCAGGTGTTGAAATCAGAGGTACTTAGCCACTGAGCCACATCTCCAACCCTTTTAAATATTTAGAGACAGGGTCTCACTGAATTTCTTAGCACCTCACCATTGCTGAGGCTGGCTTTGAACTTCCAATCCTCTTGCTTCAGCCTCCTGAGCGGCTGGGATTACAGGGTGCACCACTGTGCCCGGGGCTCTTTATTCTCTATGCTTCTCCCTTGCATTGGAAATCCAGAGCAGTCCATTAGGGGCCAACATGAGAAATAGGTGTCCAGGCCACAGCTCCAGGGACTGAGTGAAACAGCTGCCTGTACTGACAGAAAAGAAGGGGGAGTCTGGCCGAGTGGGAGGAGCTAACTTGAGCTATCTATCTCTTCCTTAGGATGTGGGGCAATCAAATAGGGGATGAAGGAGCCAAAGCTTTCGCAGAGGCTCTGAAGAACCACCCCAGCCTGAGCAATCTAAGGTAAGAGCTGTGCCTGGGGCTCCAAGGCCCACAGGGATCCTGGCCATTCTGAGCTCTCCAGGGGAGGAGCTGGCGGGGAGAGGGCTGGTGGATTTCCAAATTTGGCAGGGATTTGCTGGTGTGATTTTTTCTTTCTCTAATTTTTTTTCTTGATGTGCAAGAGGGAAACAATAAAGTACATTATTTTTAAGTGTTCAGCTCAAGGATTTTAGCAGACTCACACCAATGTAGCCACCAACTAGATCAAGATGTGACATTTTGCAGCCATTCAAGTGCCGTTGGAGGTCAGGGAGGAATTCCTAAGTCTAGATAAAACTGAAAGGAATGCTAGTTGATAGATTCCTGCCCCTTTTCCCTCATGATGGTGCTGGGACAGAGGGGACCCCTCCCCTCTGGAATTGGAGTTCCCCTTTCCCATCCCTCCTTCAGGCCTGTGGCCTAATCCTGGAGCCTTGGTGTCTCCCAAGCTCTACCTCTGTCCCAACTGCCATTGAAGGGAGTCCAAGACGGTGGGAGTAATAGCAGGAGAAACTTCTTAGGTTCTCATTGATGGGGCCCGCAAATGTGGCAGAGTGCCCTGGCCTCCTTAGCCTCTAGTCTGCGTGTAAAAACCTGAGTTCTATGTCCTTTACCTGTCTGGACACTGCTGGAGCAGTTGGTCTTCAGTCTTGTGCTTGTCCTCAGATCCTGAGCGTGGCTCTTTAGCAGCAAGGCCTGGGCGGCCGCTGACATGACTGAGCTCTTCCACGTGCTGCCCCAGGTTGGCCTGGAAGGTGCCACATCCAGACGAGGCTTCCCCACTGTTTCGGTATTGATGCCAAGGCCAAATGTGAACCTGTCTCTAATGAGTTGTTTTCCTTCCTAGTCTTGCAGCCAACTGTATCTCCACGGAAGGAGGAAAGAGCCTTGCCAGGGCCCTGCAGCAGAATACGACACTGAAGATATTCTGGTAATGGCCAGTCATTTTGAAGGGTTGGGCCGTGGTAATTGTTCCAGGGACTGCTTACACACAGCCTGGAATCTTTACTGAAAAGGTGCCTCTCAATTGCAATGGCTCATTTAATTTCCTCCCAGAGAAGAAAAACAGCTGTTTTCAGAAACAGCTGGGGAAATGGGCCTGCAACTTATGGGTTTACGGTCTTATCCTTTTTGCCATCCTTGGCCTCAGGAGAACCAGAAGGCTGGCCACTGGAACTGCCAGGAATCCCCCCAGAACATCCTCCATACGCCTAGCAGGGTCCAGTTCCTGCCTTCCCAGGTCTCTGCATCAGCATTTGGCCTTCAGTGCCCCTGTTCACCTGTCACCCATCACCTGTCACTGGAAGCCCCAGTCCTGGCTTCTTCCTCCCTGCACTCCAGGGCACTTACTAAGTGGATGGTGCCACCTGAGAGTGCTTTTTGTTGTTCCTTTATTTACTTTCCTGTATCATAAATTCCTTATGGGTGAGCAGGTTGCATTACACCCTCTATTTCATCCACCCAGGGCCCAGTATTAGATTCTGCTCAGATGTTTACCGAAAATAATGCCAGTGTTGTCTTTATGAGTGTTCTGATGCTAGATCTACTGGACAGTAAATGCATTTTTTAATTCTTTTCCCTCAAAAAAATCTTTGAACATTTTGAAAAGTAACATATGCTTTTTTTTTTGAAGAAAAAACAAGTATGACTGAAAATATTGGATGAAAGTTTGAAAGTAGGAACTGAAACTACCTCTCTCATGTTTTCTAAATATGACTTTTTTCTTTCTAACCATTTTTCTGTATATATTCAAATACATACAAAGTAGAAGAGCATTTAGCAAATGGATTTAAAAATATCTTAGCTGTCTGTTGTACATATTTGACATGTCCCTTTATGACATTAGGTTTCGCTCCTGATCTCAAATAATACTACAGAGCTTTGGTAACAAAAACAACATAGTATTGGCATCAAAACAGACAGGAAGGGCTGGGGTTGTGGCTCAGTGGTAGAGCACTTGCCTAGCATGTGAGAAGCACTGGGTTCGATCCTCAGCACCACATAGAAAAATAAATAAAATAAAGTTATTATGTTCAACTACAACTAAAAACAAATGAACAGACATGAAGACCAGTGAAATAGAATAGAAGATAAAGAGACAAACCCACATTATACAATAATTTCATTTGGGCACAGTGAAAGTGCCAAAAACATATGTTGGAGAAAAGATGGCCTCTTTAACAAATGGTACTGGATAAACTGGATGTAGAAGAATGGACCTAGATCCCGATCTTTCGCCCTGCCCAAAAGTTTAATTAAAATGGGTCAAAGACCTAGAAATTAGATGATAAACTTTGCAACTGCTAAAAGAAAACATAGTCATCCCAACACATTTTTGCAGTCTCTAACTCCCTTAACAAGATACCTAAAATTCAAAAAAATAAAACCAAGAATCAATAAGTGAGATGGAATCAAATTTAAGAGCTTCTGTACAGTAAAGGAAACAGGAGTGTGAAGAGGGAATCTGCAGAATGGGAGAAAATCTTTGCCAGCTACTCCCTTGACAGGGGATGAATATCCAGAATATATAAAGAACTCAAAAAACTTAATATAAAATCCAAATAAACCAATCAATAAATAGCCAAAAGAACAGACATTTCTCAAAATAGAAATACAAATAGTCAATGGTTGTATGAAAAAATGTTCAACATCCCTAGCAATCAGGGAAATGTAAGATAAAACAGATTTTTGTCTCAATAAATAAATAAATAGGTAAACAAACAAACAAACAAATAAATGAAAATTTTAAGACAGAGACTCATTAAGTTGTGAGACTGGCCTCAAACTTGCCATCCTCCTGCCTTGCCTCCTGAGACCCTGGAATTACATTGTGTGCCACCATGCCTGGTAAGAGCATTCAAATACTGTGCCCTCTGCCATCTTCTTTGTTCAATCTATCTCACTCTCTCTAAGGCTACACAATGTTCCATAGATGTTCATTATTTTACCAGTTCTTTAAATTATTCCAGTTTTGCATTTTGACAGCTAATATCACAGTGTACACTGCAAGGTAGAAAGCTCTGCTGTACATATCTTTGCACCTGACTTTTGTCTTAAGGGAAATACATTTAAGATTTGGATAGTGCTGGATGCGGTGTCACATGCCTGTAATCCCAGCAGCCCGGGAGGCTGAGATAGGAGGATAGAGAATTCAAAGCCGGCCTAACAATTCAGTGAGACTGTGTCTCTAAATAAATGAGTTCCCATAAGGCTAGAGATGTGACTCAGTGGTCAAGTGCCCAGGTTCAATCCCCAGTACTCCCCCCAACCAAAAAAAAAAAAAAAAAAAGATTTGGATAGTGATCACATGGCCCTTCAGGGGAAGACTTTTTAAAACAGTATACTATTCCATTATCCTCATTATTCCTTCATCCACTGAAAAAGAGGGTCCGACCCTAGTTACATCGTGAACTCCTTTGCTTGTCCAGACCACTGCTGGTTTTAAGAGCAATTGAGAGGCTTCCTGAACTTTCAGTCACTGAACCTGGGTCCTTTGCCACTGGCCTCAGAGCACAGCACTGAGCACACTTTACCATGCAGTTGGTGGGTTTCCCCAGGTTTTCATCTTGACTTGGACAAGCACCTGTCAGTGATGTTCCTGGGTCTTGGAGCTGGAGGAGACCCAAGTCCAGGCCCTGGCCCTGGTTCTCTGTGGCTTTCTCTTCTGTGAAATTGGAGGCTCAGTGAGGGTGAGGAGTGCAGGCTCCTGGGCAGGCAGGGGGCTACGAAGTGGGAACTCAGAGCAGGACCTGCACTAGAAATGAGTTTCCATATATGTGTGGGGTGGAGGGCTGCTAGGAGCCTGCACTCTGCTGCCTTCTCAGCAAGCAACTAGCTGCAGAGCTGGAGAGACCCAGGCCTGGTTCTGGCTTCTGTGAACTCACTAACAATGTCTTCCAATTCAACCCTCCTGAGTAATCACTTCCTCTCTTTTCTAGGCTGACCCAAAATGAACTCAATGATGAAGTGGCCGAGAGCTTTGCAGAAATGCTGAAAGTCAACCAGACATTGAAGCATTTATGGTAACTCAGCCCCAAAATTTCCAGACTGTGATTTTCATATTTTTAAAGATAAAATTGACATATACAAAATTCACTCTTTTGAGGTATATAGTTTAGAGGATTTTTTAGTATATTCTCAAGGTTACACAACCATAATGATCTATTCTAGAACATTTTCACTGCCCTGTACTCCCCAATGAAAAACCCTTTTATGCCTTAGGCAGCTATGCCCAGCCTTCCCCTCCCTCGACCCCTGACAAACACTAATTTGTCTCTGAATTTGCTTATTCTTGGCAATTCAGATAAATGTGAGCTTTTGTCTCTGTTCCACTAGCGTAAGTTTCCAAGGTTAATCTTTGTTGTAGCATGTATCAGTACTTAATTACTTTCTTATAGCAAATGATACTCCATAGTATGGATATATGTCATTTGATGGTGGTTGGGTGGTTCCTACTTTTTGACTGTGTGAATAATGCCACTGTGAGTATTTTTGCAAATGTATTTTCATTTCACTTGAGTATATACTTAAAAATAGAATTGCTGGGTCATATGGCACTTCTATGTTTAACTTTTTGAGGAACCACCAAGTGCTTTGCAAAATGACTGTTTTATGTTCTCACCAGCAACATAGGAGGATTCCAACTTCTCCATATCTTCCTCAACGCTTGTTGTGGTCCCTCTTTTTGAGTCTAGCCATGCCAGTGGGTGTGAAGTAACACCATATTGTGGTTTTGACATGCATTTCCTGCTGACAGTGTCGAGCATCTCTTTTTGCCCCTGTTGGCCACCTGTATGTCTTCACTGAAAAAATGTCTCCACATCCTTGGCCTATTTTTAAACTGGTTTGTTTTTAATGCTGAGTTGTAGTGTTGGAGTTCTTTATGCTGGTTGCTAGACTTTTATTATTTTTTTTATTTTTTTGTAATGGGGATTAAACCCTGGGGTACTTAACCACTGTGCCACATCCTAAACCCCCACCTTTTTTTTTTTTTTTTTGCATTTTATTTAGAGACAGAGTCTCCCTGAGTTGCTTAAGGCCTTGCTAAATTGCTAAGGCTGGCTTTGAACTCATGATCCTCCTGTATCAGCCTCTTGAGCTGCTGGTATTACAGGCATGTATCACTGCGCCCATCTAAACTTTTATTGGACAAATGATTTGCAAGTATTTTCTCTGTGTGTTTGAGGTTTTCCTCTTCCTTGATAGCAACCATTGAAGCATAGAAGTTTTTGATTTTGATGAAGTTGAAATTTTTTATTTCCTCTTTCGTTGTTTGTGCCTTGAGAGTGTTATTTAATAAATAAGAACCTAGCCAGGTGCAATAGTGCATGTCTGTAATCCCAGTGGCTCATGAGGCTGAGGCAGAAGGATTGCAAGTTCAAAGCTAGTCTCACCAACCTAGTGAGGCCCTAAGCAATTTAATGAGACCTTGTCTCAAAACAAAAAGGGAGAGGGACTAAAGATGTGGCTCAGTGGTAGAGCACCCCTGGGTTCAACCCCGGTATCAAAAAAATAAAAAAATATAAAAAGAAACCATTATGTAATCCAAGGTCACAAAAATTTACACCTGTTTTCTGTTAAGTTTTATATTATAGTTTTTCTCTCATTTTAGGTCTATAACCCATTTTGAGATTTATTTATTTATACATACATACTGAGGGTTGCATCCAGAGGTGCTCTACTACTCAGCAACATCCCCAGATATATTTTTTTCTTTTTTCCATAGCTTTATTGAGGTAAATCCGAAGTACAATAAAATGCACATATTTGAAGTATGCAATTGAAATTTGATGAATTTCAACATGTATGTAATTAATAAAATCAATATAAAAAGCATTTCTTTTTTAAAATTTGAAATCAGGCGGACTGTGTTTTCTGCATGTTTTATTACATTATAAATCAATCACTTTAAGATATATAGAACCCTACATCAACTATTTCAAAATTAAATGGTGCACTTATAAATATCTCTGAGGTCAAGGAAAAAAGCACAAGAAAAGTAAATAAAAAGTGCTTTGAACTCAGTGATAATAAAAGCTTAAAATATCAGGATCTCTGGGATGAAACAGTATTCAGATGAATATTTATAACAGAGAGAAGCTAGAATAACAAATCATTTTCAAATTAAGTAGTAGGAAGGTAAAAATAAGAGTAGGAGAAGAAATATATGAATTAGAGAAGAAATAATACAGCTAAACATTGATAAAAATCAAATAAGTCTAATCAAGAAAAAAAACAAGAATATAGAAATTAATATCAATGAAAGGGACCTATCAAAATAACCCTACAGATGCTAAAAGTATATTAAGGTAATATTACAATTGTATGCCAACATGGTCTATATTAGAGAAGGATCCGTGTGCTTCTGAGAAGAAGGTATATTCAGTCATTGATGAATGAAATATTCTACATATGTCTGTTAAGTCTAAATTATTATATTATTTAGTTCTATAGTTTGTTTAGTTTTTGTTTGGAGGATCTACCCAGTAGTGAGAGAGGTAAGTTAAGTCACCCAGAATTATTATGTTGTAATCTATTTTATTCTTGAAATTGAGAAGTGTTTGTTTGATATATGTACATGCTTAATTGTTTGAGGCATAAATATTTATGATATGTTTTGTTGATGTATGATTCCCTTAAGCAGTATGAAATGGCCTTCTTTATCCCTTCTGATTAATACTGGCTTGAAAACCACTTTATCTAATATGAAGATAGAAATCCCCCTGTTGGTTTACAAGATCCATGTGAAGATATGTTTTTTCCTATCCTTTCACCTTCAGTCTGGGAATGTCTTGGAGACAGCATATTGTTGGGCCTTGTTTTTTAATCCAATCTGCCAGTCTGTGTCTTTTGATTGATGAGTTTAGGCCATGGATGTTCAAGGTTATTACTGAGATATGATTTGTGTTCCCAGTCATTTTGGTTTATTTCTAGTTTTTAATTTGAATTAGTTTCTCCTTTGATTGACTGTTCCTTTAGTGTAGTTCTTCCCTTCTCTGGGTTTTCTTTTTTCATTTTGTCTTCATGGAGTATTTTGTTGAGAATATTCTGAAGTGCAAGCTTTCTGGTTGTGAAGTTCTTAAATTTTTGGTTATCATGAAAGGTTTTTATTTCATCTTTAAATCTGAAGCTTAATTTTGCTGGATATAGGATTCTTGGTTGGCATCCATTTTCTTTCAGAGCTTAATATATGTTATTCCAGGACCTCCTAGATTTGAGGGTCTGGGTTGACAAATCAGCTGATATCCATATTGGTTTGTCCCTATATATAATCTAATATTTTTCTCTTACAGCCCTTAAAAATTCTATCCTTATTCTGTCTGCTAGGTATTTTCATTATGATGTGCCTTGATATGGATCTGTTGTAATTTTACACATTGGGGTCCTATAAGCCTCTTGTATTTGATTTCCCATTTCATTCTTTACATTTGGGAAATTTTCTGACATTATTACATTGTGAAGATTGTGCATTCCTTTGGTTTATATCTCTGCACCTTCATCTATCCCAATAAATCTTAAATTTGGTCTTTTCATGTTATCCCATATTTCCTGGAAGTTCTGTTCATGGTTTCTTAACATCTTCTCTCTCTGGTCGAGTTTATTTTTAAGGTTATATATTTCGTCTTCATTGCCTGAGGTTCTATATTCCAAGTGGCCTAGTCTTTTGGTGATGCTTTTTATTGATTTTTTAATTTGGTTTGTTTCCTTCATTTCAAGGATTTCTGTTTGATTTTTCTTCAGAATCTCTCTTTATTGAAGTGATTATTTGCTGCCTGTATTTGTTCTCTTACAGCATCCTTTACTTTGCAGATCAATTTAATTATGTACATGCTAAACTCCTTTCCTGACATTTCTTCCACTGTGGGATTGATAGATTCTATTAGTGGAGTATCTTGGTTTGTTTGGGGCAATTTGTTCCCTTGGTTTTTCATGTTGTTTGTGTACTACCCATCTAACAGTATGGATCTGAGGCAGTAGAGTTTCTACCCTGGGTATTTATAGTGTCCCTGAAGGTTTCTAGTACCTCACTGTTTGGGGGAAGAAAATAATAACAACAACCATGCAAACAATTTACAGCATTAAACCAATAGCTCCTACTATTTGGTTTAATGCTGTAAATTATCACAATAAACAAATGATAGGATCAGTTATTGCCTACAATAAAAACAGCAAGTTTGCAAAAGGGTTTACATTTACAAATGGTGGACAGGGAGAGAACAGAAGTGATATAGGATGTGATGGTTATGTGGGAGGAGAGAAAACAGAAGAAAAGGGTTAACGGAAGAGTGAAAGATAAAAACAGTAGAGATTGGCTGTTAGCAGAAGAAAAGTGAGAGTCAAGGGAAACAGAAGAAAAAAAAAATATATATATATACAAATAAACCAAAATTTAAAAAAAATTAAAACAAAAATAAAGGAATACAAAACAAAACTAAAATATACTAAATATGCTAGTTCACACAAAAAATCCATTTAAAATAACTAGCTTCAAAAATTCTAGAGATGAGAAGCAGAAACAAAAAGGTGACTGTATAAATGTCCATGTACCTTGAAGGTCACAATTAAACAGTGAAAAGGAATTTAAAAAAAAAGAGAGAGAGAGAGAAAACAAATCTTGATGAAAAGTTAAAAATTCTTTCCCTTGGAGTTCAAAACATTTTCAGCTTCTCTTCTCAGCAGTTTTAGGTGGATCTTCTGGAGTGTGATGTTCTACCCTCTTGATTGCTAGGATTCCAGGAGGAGTTCCTGGAGGCAAGGTTTAGGCTTCGGCGGGCTCCAGGCTCTTTACTGATTGCTAACTGGTCTGGAGATTTTAAATCAGTGCACCTCCAGCGCCTAGTACTTCTGGTCCATGCTGGAAGACTGTACCCCAAGGATCTCCCCTGGGTTCCATTCCTGTGCTGGAGGATCCAATCCTTAGTCCCCTACATCACCTGCAGACCCCACATTTCCTGGTCTCCAAACAACCCTTCGTGCCCCCACCCTTCTGAGTTTCTGGTCAGATGCATCTCTCTCAGCTGGTCCTGCAAGCAGTCAGATTGTAGGGGGAGGGTAGAGCCAGGTGGGTTTCTTTGACTAGTTGTTCCCTGTGTAAACCTCTTTCCATGTTTGATTTTCTCCTGGTCACTTAAGCACATTCTGTGTGGTGCAGCATGTGTTTAATGGGCCTGTATTTGGGGCCAAACTTGGGTTTGCCAGGAATCAGCCCCCTTGGCTGCTGGGCCCCCACTCAATGGCTGCAAAATGTTTTTTTCGTCTTCCACAAGCACCTAGAGAGATGGCAGCTTCTTTCCCCACACATGGGTACACATGGGTATCATGCAGCAAGTTCTTCAGGTTTGCCAGACAATGTCTTTGATATCTAATTGCTCTGTACCCAGACACACCTTGAGCCTCCCAAACTATGGGTTCCTTTAATGTCCTTATCCCTCTACTGTGCTCATGAAGGGACTGCTCTGGCTGGAGCTTCCAGCCCGGCTGGAGATCCATATGCAACAAAATGAAATTACACCTCTATCTCTCACCATACACAAAACTCAACTCAAAGTAGATCAAGGACCTAGGAATTAAACCAGAGACCCTGTGACTAATAGAAGAAAAAGTAGGCCCTAATCTCCATCATCTCAGATTAGGCCTCTATTTCCTTAATAAAACTCCTATTGAGCAAGAATTAAAGTCAAGACTCAATAAATGGGATGGATTTAAACTAAAAAGCTTCTCAGCAAAAGAAGCAATCAGTGAAATGACTAGCGAGCCTACAGAATGGGAGCAAATTTTTACCACACACATATCAGAGCACTAATCTCTAGAATATATAAAGAACTCAAAAATCTTAACACCAAAAATACCCCAAATAACCCAATCAATAAATGGGCCAAGGAACTGAACAGACACTTCTAAGAAGATGATATGCAATCAATCAACAAATATATGAAAAAATGTTCAACATCTATAGCAATTAGAGAAATACAAATCAAAACCACTCCAGTCAGAATGGCAGCTATTAAGAATAAAAAAGTGTTGGCAAGGCTATGGGGAAAAAAGCACACTCATACATTGTTGGTGGGACTATAAATTGGTGCAGCCAATATGGAAAGCAGTATGGAGATTCCTTGGAAAACTGGGAATGAAACCACCATTTGACCCAGCTATCCTACTCCTTGGTTTATACTCAGAGGACTTAAAAACAGCATACTACAGGGACACAGCCACATCAATGTTTATAGCAGCTCAATTCACAATAGCTAAATTGTGGAATCAACCTAGATACTCTTTCAGTAGACGAATGGATAAAGAAAATATGGTATATATACACAATGGAATATTACTCAGCATTAAAAGAGAATAAAATCATGGCATTTGCATGTAAATGGATGAAGTTGAAGAATATAATGCTAAGTAAAGTAAGCCAATCCCCCAAAAACCAAATGCTGAATATTTTCTCTGATATAAGGATTCTGATTCATAATGGGGTTGGGGGGCAACATGGGAGAAATGGAGGGTCTTTAGATAAGGCAAAGGGGAGGGAGGGGAAGGGAGGGAGGATAGGTGGAAGATGGTGGAATGAGATGGACATTATTACCCTAAGTACATGTATGAAAACATGAATAGTGTGACTCTACTTTGTGTGCAACCAGGGACATGAAAATTTGTGCTCTATTTGTGTAATATGAATGGAATTGCATTCTTCTGTCATATATAACTAATTAGAATAAATTTTTAAAAAAATTAGATTAAAAAAATCAGTTGATCAGAAATGTATGTCTAGACGCTATTCTAATCTGTTGATTAATTAATTAAGTTTTGGTACCAGGATGAACCCAGGGCACTTTACCACTAAGCCACGTATCCAGCCCTTTTTATTTTTTATTTTGAGACATGGTCACATTAAGTTGCTTAGAACCTTGCTAAGTTGGTGAGGCGGGCTTTGAACTTGTGATCCGCTTGCCTCGACCTCCCAAGTCACTAAGATTATAGGCATATATCAGCGTGCATGTATCTGTCATCATGTCAGACCTTACTGTCTTGATTACTATAGCTTCATAAGAACTTGTGAAATCAAGAAGTGCAAACCCTTTAGTTTTGCTCTTTCTCAGGTTATCTTGGCCAGTCTGGTTGCCTTGCGTTTTCGTAAGTTTAGAGCCACATTGTCAATTTCTTCAAAAAGGCCAGACTGTGCTTTTACATCCATTTTCCTTCCTCTGTGTTTATCTGCTGTCTTCTCTTCTGCCCTTTCCTAGGTTGCTGGGCCAGCCCCTTCAGGGAGTGCAGAGCTTGCGCAGGGCTGGGGAGTCTTGGTTGCTGCTTGTGTGCACAGCCAAGCTGGCCCGAGCAAAAATAGCCCTGGCAGGCCATTGGGCTTGGACTGCAGGCCTGTTAGGGACCGTAGGAGCTTTCCTCTTCCTGGCCTCACACCACTTCTTGGTTGAGGGCAGGCTGCCTTGTCCCTACGGAGACATCAGGGGTGGTAGTGGCAGCCACCATGAAGGTGGCGACAAGAGAACAGTAGTTCAAGTGGATGCAGAACTCAGTGCCCACCTCCAGATTCTGTTTTTGTTCCTTCTGCAAAAATGTCCAAGTTCCACTCTTCTTCCCACTTTACAGAGACAACTAAGGCACCGGTAAGGCTTTATGGTTCTGTAGCTGAAAAGGATTGTCAGGGTCAGAGCTGTAACAGTAGCTCCTGCTTGCCATGTGGTCCTGCCTCCAGGGCAGGCCCCTTCATGCTGAATCTCTGTGACCTCATTGATCATGAGAGCAGAGCCCTCATGCAGAACCCCTTTCTGAGTCAGTGTCCAGGATTTCTAAGGGTCAGGTTTAGTAGTAAGGAGTGAGAAGTGAACCTGGGCTGAAGGGTAGATACATCAGTGCCTCGCTCTGCATTTATTTCCTGGTTGGGTTAGAATCATCACTGCCTAGATCAGCATTTCAGGAAAGTTCAGGCCTTCCCAGCTCTACCAGAAACTTTCATTTGCATCATTGCTACTCAGCAGCGTGGGGACACTTTAAAAGGCCCCATTATCGATGCTTTACAACAGGACCCAGGAGTGGCAGCAACAGAATTGTTTCTGTGTCTTCCCTTATGGATGGTGGGAAGATGTGGTATCATTCTAGAAGACTTTGGATCCCTCAAAGAAGGGATGACCATTCAGTAGCTATTTAACATTTAAAACTGCCCTCAGTTTCCCGAGATACCCAGGAGACCTTGGATGACCTTTTACCCTGGTGATATGTTTCTTGGAATTTCTTGTTCAGATGGGTGATATCCATACTTTTTTGGTTGGGCACTCCTATGATGAAAAAGGTCTCTCTTTCTCAGACACACACATGCACACACAAACGTATGCACTTGCCCCTACTCATGTATTACACACATGTACACACACCCCTCTTCATGTATGACATTGTTTACATCTAAGTCAACAGATGTATTATGGGCACTAAGAAAAAAAATTTTAAAGGCTGTTCATTATTCTCATGTGAGGCTACCTTAGCTTGATGAAGAGTCACAGGATCTGGTCCCCACCTCCAATCCCATCTCTGATCCTGTTGGTCCCTGCAACTCCCTGTGAAGGGGGCAGGTTTCACCCAGCATTCTGTATTGGACACAAGGTGTGCTCTTCTTTCAGGCTCATCCAGAATCAGATCACAGCCACGGGGACCGCCCAGCTGGCAGAGGCCTTACAGAACAACACTGGCATAACGGAGATTTGGTAAGGTTGTCTGCTTGCCATATTGACAGGGACTCTTGACTCAGCACTACTGTCTGTGTGTACAGCACCACATGGGGCAGTTCCACTGACTATCCAATGACCCTCTAGAGTGGTGGTGTTGGCTTCACTATACAGATGTAGAAACTGGGGTCCTGAGCAGCAGAGAACTTGTCCACGATCACAGCAAGAGCAGAAGTAGAATTCTGCCCAGCCTCCTGGCTCTACCACCTGTGCTCTGCTGCCCTGGGCCCCTGTCCTTGACCTTCATGGTGTTGCATGAGAGACTGGCTTGTGAGAGGGAGTCCTGCTGAGGTGGACCTCATGAGCCTTAGGGGTGGCTGTGCTGGTCTGGAGTTTAGAGCTCTCTCCCTCTTCCTTGGCATCCTGGGATTCAGGAGGCACCAGCAGGCTGGATTTGAGCTGATGTATGCTCTTCCTGTATTCTTGGTTCTGCTTTGAGAACATACTTATGCTAATGCAAAAAAGGAAAAAAAAAAAGACCCTACTTTTTGCTTTATAACATCGAGCCCCATCTAGGTCTTCCTTGTCTCCCACAAGGTCCCCCCACCCCACACTCCATAGCCCCTTGGAAACAACTCTGTGGCTGAGGTAGGCCTGGTAGATACTGGGAGAGTGGCTCATAGAACACACAGGTGTTTCCCAGTAGTCATGAGAGTCGCCAGGCCTGGACCTGCTACATGCCAGGCACCAGAGGTGCAGCAGTTAAATTGATGGCAGGAGCCCTGACTGCTCAAAAGTGCTGGCCTGAGCTGAGAGCTGAGGGCCCCAGTGTGCAGACTCTTCAGTGCTCTGGATATTTGTCCTCATGACTCTGGTGTCTCCAACAGCCCCTGCCAATGTGAAGGTAGAGACCATTGTGGAGAAGCTGGCAGAGGGCAGAGCTGGGTTTCTGTAGAGGACACTGACCATGGGAGTTACGTGTCCACTGTGGCTTCTCTGAGATCCATAGGGCAGCCTCACCATGACCCCAGTCCTTCAGCTCAGGGGGTGCTTGCCTATTAACTACTTCCTCCCTTCAAGACTTTCACAGCCAAGAAAAAAAATCAAAGTACAGTCTTCAGCCTTGGATCCTTGAATAGCGTTTTACTTTGCTTTGGAACTGGTCAGTGGAGCAAAAAAGCAGTCTGGTGATTTGCAGATTGTATTATTATTATTATTATTATTATTATTATTATTATTATTATTATTTTGGCACTGAGGGATTGAACTCAGGGCACTTGACCACTGAGCCACATCCCCAGTCCTATTTTGTATTTTATTTAGAGACAGGGTCTCACTGAGTTGCTTAGTTCCTCGCTTTTGCTGAGGCTGGCTTTGAACTTGCAATCCTCCTGAGCAGCTGGGATTACAGGTGTGTGCCACTGCACCCAGGGCAGCTTGCATTATTTTCAAATAAAATTGAAAAGGAAAGAATATTGGGCTACGACATGCATAGCAGGGTATTCTAACTTCAGGCATGCATGTGGGTGAATTTAATTTCTATTTGGGGACATGGTCAAAAGCATTTTTAAAAAATGCTGTTGTAGAGAATGGAGCCTAGATCCAATATGACAACGCTGGCATCTATTCCCATGAGGCTCTCACAGCTGGCTCTTCTGCCTGGAAAGTGCTGGAGAGCTCCAGAGCGTCTGGCCTGCAGGCATCTCCAGCTACACTCACACTGTGACCTCTGCCCTGGGATGGCTCTGCTTCCTGTTGATTCTGTGTCTGAGGACCGAATGCAGAGAGGAGCAGTTTGCAGACCACAGTTGGCCCACACTCTTTTTCCAAGCTGGTTGAGACAGTTGTCTGTAGCTGCTTTAATTTTGCCAAGCTTGAACACATGCATTTTGTCCCTCAAGGGCACTGTTCCTACACAAGGAACTATCTGGGTAAGGCCAAGGGTCTTTGGCTTCAAGGCATGCTATCCAGAGAGTAAACACTTGTGTTCAGGTGGAGAGGGTGGACTGGCCATCAATCCAGACATGTGACAGGACAGGTGGCTCAGGTACTGGCCTTGGGGACATCTTCCCTTCAGTTCCTAGCTTGTGCTGGGAGCTACCAAAGGGTATTTCTCTGTGCATGGCTTCTAAGGACTAGGCCTGGTCCAGGAGCTGCCACAGCAGGCCATAGGGCTGTGCTGGACTGGGAGGGGAGCTGTGGCTCCTGGGGCTTAGGGACACTGCACTTGAGGCCACTACTGACAAGAGCATCTTCTTGGACTTTTTTTCTACTGACATTTATTCAGTAGAGTTCTTGTGTTTGAAGACGGAGCTCCCATGAGGCAGTGTCAACCCTGTGAGCTCCTGAAGGGGGAGAGCCTGTGTAGTAGTTACAGCTGGGTCCCCAGGGGCTAGTGATGCATCTTTCATTCATTCCTTGAGGAACACAGTGCTTGAGCGCCAGGCACCGCTAGTGCCGAGCATCTGTGGTAAATTGGATCTTCCCTCTTGGGCTCACTAGCTAGTGAGGGAGAGGCAGATGAGGGGGGAACTCATTAAGGAGTTATGTAACTATCATTGTGAGGGGTGCTCCTAGGGGGAAGGCCAAAAGCAGGTGTCCAGGAAAGGTCTCCTAAGGAAGTGGCATTTAAACGAAGCCACAGGGGCCAGTGTGCAGCTCAGAGGCAGTGCACTTGCCGAGCATGCTCAAGGCCCCGGGTTCTACCTCCAGTATCACGAAACAGGTGAGTAAGTTAGTCAGCTAGTCTGGGAAGGAAGGAGAGTGTTGCAAGGTAGGGAGAACAGCATATGCCCAGGCTCTGGGAAGGAGGGAGTGTGGTGTCCACAGAGAACGGCAAGAAGCTGCCGCATTAGAAGGTTCAGACTGTGTGAGAGGGTAAGGGGAGGCAGAGGAGACAGGCAGAGCCCAGGCCATAAAAGATCTGTGAGTTACATATCATGTATTTTGGTTTTTATCCTAAAAGTAATGGAAGGTTCATTGAAGGGTTTGAAGCAGGAGAAGGATGTGGTCAGATTTCCAAGGCATAGGGACCACTTAGGTCCCTTCTGGGAAACTTGATTTGAGACTAGGGCACTTATGAAGGGCCTGACAGGGGGATACTGCAGTGGTCCAGGTTGAGAGCAGATGGGTGCCCAGCCCAGAGTGTGGAATGGAGGCCACAGAGAGATTCCAGGCAGGGATTCTAGGGATGGCTAGGAGGAGGAGAGTGTCAAGGTGGACCCCGGGTCCTATCTGACACAACTGATGAAGGGAATCCTGGGAAGGTGTTATCACTTTGAGGTGCCTGGAAACTCCAAGTTGAAGACATAAGGTAGGAAACAGGCTCCACTGAACTCTGAATGAGGCTGTGGCAAAGATGAGAAGGCCTGAGGAAAAGGCCTGGCCCCAAGTCTGGAGGAAACTCAGTAGTCAGAGGTCACATGGAGAGTACAGGAAAGGAGGCTGAGGCAGAGTGCTCAGATACAGGAGAAACCCGGAAAACATGACATCAAGCCCAGGCAAGGTAGTGCTTCAAAGATGGAGAGCTGGCTCTGGAGCAGGAGGATCCCAAGTTTGAAGCCAGCCTGAGCAACTTGCTACAACCCTGTCTTAAAATAAAAAAGACTGTGGGGATGTAGCTGAGTGGCAGAGTGCTTGCCTAGCACGCAATGTTCATGGATTCAATCCCTGCTACTGCAAAAAAAAAAAAAGGGGAAACTGTTAGGACAGTCAAATGCTGCCTGTGAAAGCCCAGAAGACAAGACCTGAGAAAAATGTCACTAAGTTCAGGCTTTTGGAGGCTCTAGGTGACCTTAGTGAGATGCCCAGTTATGAAAGCAAAAGTGACTGGAGAGGATTAATGTTAGTATCAAAGCACCACTTGAATAGAGCCTGTTCCTTACCTTGAGGGCTGTGTTATGCTCAAGAGTGAGTTAGGGACACGGAAGGAGCATCCAATAGTCCCCAGTGCTTTCCTGTGTGTAAAATTTGTTTTTCTCAGGATGGGGTTGTGGCTCAGTGGTAGAGCACTTGCCTTGCACGTGTGAAGTACTGGGTTCTATTCTCAGCACCACATAAAAAAATAAACAAAAGTTATTGTGTCCATCTACAACTAAAAAAAATATATATATTTTAATTATTTTTCTCCTTCTACTAGTCTAAATGGGAACTTGATAGAGCCAGAGGAGGCCAAAGTCTTTGAAGATGAGAAGCGGATCATTTGTTTCTGAGAGGACTTTCCTATGCTTGGGTCTTCGCCCTGGAAGGCCCCGTAGCAGCTGCTGCCACCCTGTGCAGTCAGGGCAAGCAGGCTGCAACCCAGGGCATGCGGCCAGGGGCCTGTTGGAGCACACTCCTAATGATGCAGGCCCACCTCCGTGGTGATGTCCACCCTAAGCTGTTAGGGTGTTGCAGAAACAGTGTGCACCCTGTGAGCTGCGGTAGTCACTGCAAAACAGTATCAGGTTTTCTATACTATGAAGACTTCGTTGTGTATCTGTAATTATTTTATCCAAAGCTGGAGGAATAAGACTGAAGAGAAAAGGCCAGCCTCAGCTGGCACAGATGCCTGCCCTAAGAACCAGAGCCAGTGTGTTGACCGCTGCTGTCTTCAGGGGAGAGTGGAGGACCTGGTGCAGAGTCAGTGCCAAGCTTCTCGGAAAGAAGGTTCTCAACGCACAGGAAATATCCACCCTCCTTAGTACTTCCCCACGTACTGATGTCCCCTTCATGGCTGTGGATACTGAAGGGTGTAGGATGTGGGGATGTGGCTCATCCAAGGTCCTGTGGGGAGCTGGTGTCAGGAGCTCATCACAGGCTTCTCAGTCCTGAGTCTGTGTGCTGACAAGATAAGAGGATGCTCTCTAGGCCAGTCTAAGAGGAAGACAGTGACAATGCCTTCATCACATAGAGCTTCGAGTCTGGACTCTACCTGTCCCAACTGCACTCCACAGCTAATGTGCCTGCCCAGGAAGAAGCATGGACTCCTGTTCTCCAGAGGGATAGGCATGACTTGTCTTGGTGGCCCTGGCACTCACACCACACAGAAGCTTTTCTCTACATTGCCCTCTTAGGAAGGGAAGTCTCAGCCAGGCGTGATGGCACACTCCTGTAATACCAGTGTTTGGGGAGGCTGAGGTAGGAGGATTGCAGGTTCAAAGCCAGCCTCAGCAAAAGCGAAGCATTAAGCAACTCAGTGAGACCCTGTCTCTAAAATACAAAATAGGGCTGGGGATGTGGCTCAGTGGTCGAGTGCCTCTGAGTCCAATCCCTGGTACCAAAAAAGGAAATAAAAAAGGGAAGTCTCTTCCTGCCCCCCAACAGCTGGTGGGGGGGTGAATGAAGACTCGAGGAGCCTGCTGAGAACTCAGCCAGCAAAGTGTGCTAGACCCCCCACTGTGGGGGGCACATGGTGGATGCTCTGTGAGGTGGGGTGGGGTTATCACAAGAGAACTTGTTCTTTGGCCACCTCATTTGTTAATAAAATATTTAAAAAGCTCACCATTTTGAAATGTTAGGGCTGGGATTGTTTGGAGGGACTTGGCCTGGTGTGCTGTGAGCCTGACTCAATGCACTGTGGAGAACGTTCTGGATAAAGTGCTCCAGGGGGAGGCCTGAAGAAGGGAGGCCAGAGGCATCCTAAGTGTGGTCTGGCACGGTCCTCTCCACCTACCAAGGGACAAGAAAAGGTGGAGGCACTATCTGAGGCTGCTCCATCTGGCCTCTGAATCCATACGGGGGAGGGGGGGGCTCTTGTGCTGGCTGGGCTCAGGACACATGGAGTGGCCCAATTTCATGCATTCACCACAGCACACAGTAGGTCCTGCCAGGTCCACTACCTTCCTTGGCTGTTCACTGATGGATGGAGGACAAGGTGGTCCTGAGGCAAGAGGGGACAGCATGGGAAGGGTAAGGGGTCCCTCCCAGAAAGCCACAGTGTTCTAGGTTCAAGCCTGGCTCCATACACAGCCTGCTAGGGAGGGTGCGATTCAGCAGGTTATGGGGGATATCCTGTAGCTCAGACCACCGTACGGTGATGATTCCCTTAAAGGCACTGCTGTGGTGCTTCCTCCAGTGTGTCTCCCACCCCAGACCCAGATATTCACCTGGTCATCTCCCTCTGAGGCAGCAGTCTGGGCAGTAGATCCTCTTGCAAAGGGCAAGGAAATCCTCAAGGTGAGCTGAAGGCCAAGGGCGTGAGGAACACAGAGCACAGACTCAAGACTACAAACTCACCAAGTCTTACCAAGAAACACACTTCCTGGGGACAAAGTTCAGATTTTATCAAACAGCTAAATGTAAACTCTTGAAAGTCTAAAATTTACTCAGCAACTATTGAACATTATTGCTCTAAAGACTAGCAAGACCGCAACCTCTCAGGGACTCCATTTGTGTGGTTATAGTCTGAAGTTCTATTTGTAACACCTCCATCTTCTACATGGTGAAAGGTAGATTCTGATCCTTTTATAAAACCAAAAGCAGGTTTCCAGCTTGCCAGAAAGGGTCTCCACCACACAGATGAACTGAGCACAGGTGTGCAGGCTTGTCCTAATCATGAAAAAGACAACAGAAAATATAAAAAGTGAGCTCTGTGAACTTGGGATATGACTGACCATTCCTTTCCATAGTGTGCCTTGGCTGATTTGAGGAAAGAAACTATTGCTTCTGTACTTCATCCCTGCATTTATATCATGTTCACACTGATTTGGAACTCAATTTAAAAAGCCATAGAAAGTCACTGTGTCCAAGTGTAATTAGCTCCAAGGAGCTCCAGCCTGCTTTTGCCCTGATGCGTGGCTTTGGGCCCAGCCTAGGTCTGCTGGAATCTTGATATCTTCTGTGAAAAATGGGAATCCAAGAGCACTGACTCAGGAGGTTATTGAGAGAAGATGAAATAAGGTGTTCTAGAAAGTAGTTGGTATGCCTGGCTGAGGGTCTCCTCCTCTGTACCCACCAGTTACTATAAAACCAGCCTTTCTCATTTCCCCTCTGACTCCTAGGCTTAGAGGGACCTTTCCAACAAGACTAAATATGGCAGTGGAAGTTCTCAAAGTAAAATTCGACATCAAGGTTCCTGTAGTATCCTAGCTTTGTGGTATCTTGTCCTCATTGCATAGTAGGGCAGAGGCCAGCACCACTGCACAGAGCCAGGCACATGGGCGTGAGCAATATCCCAATTTCCTTTCAGCTCTGGAACCAGGCAGGAGCACTGGGATCATAGACATTTTTCCAGGTGTGGTACAGTATGTCTGTTTCTAAGTAGCATGTGATGGAGGAGGAGGGGGGGGGTGAGAAACAGGGGTGGAGGAGCAAGAGGAGGAGGAGGAGAAGAAGAAAAGAACACAAGATGAAACTTGCTTTGGAGCTGAAAGACAAAACTATGACCATGGAGGGGCATTTCAATGAAAGCAGACTCGGTTCATGAGGAGGCCAAGACTTGTGTGACCACATGAGGCCTGTGGCACAGCTATAGAGCAGGGCTGTTCCAGCACTGTTCTCTCCATCTGAAAACTGAATGAACTGTACATACAACTGACTGAAGACTTCTAGAGACATTACACACTGAAAAAATGACCTGTGATTTAAGAAAGACTTAAAATAATAGATTAAATAAACACAAGGTTTTGAAGACCACTTGGGGTGCTTTTTGTAACCAATAACAAAAGTCAAAATGTCTCAAAAAATCTTCCCTGATTTTTCCCTCTGTCTCACAGTGCATTTATTTTTGTTGTAAAAGGGGTATCACAATGTTAAAGGGAACCTTGAAAATGTGTATATCAGCTTACCAAAGCTTTAGTTTTTACATATCATCTCCTGTGCTTTGTCTGAACATCGTTTTTCATAGGTATAATTCCAGTGCCCATTTGCAGTTCTTAATCAAACATTTTCCCACATCATTACCATAGTCTTTAAAATTATCATTAGTAGTCTATGAATTTGAGAATTTGCTTATTATGTTCCAATTGTTAAGACATTCATGTTTCTGGATTGGCTGTGATTATTATAGACACTGTTTGGTAGAATTAAAAACTTTATGGTTATTTCTTCACAGTGGGATTACTGAGGCTAAAATATCTTGCTATGAAATTTCATTTCCTTTTTAAACTGTTAGGGATTAAAAAAACGTTTAGATATACAGGTGAAAGAGAACAATGTAACCATCAGTGTCTCCTCTAAGGAGGAATAAAACTCCCTGCCCCTGCAATTCAGCAGAGACAATGTCCAGGCTCTGCCTGCACAGGGACATGTGTGTCCAAGACTCACAATACCAACAAATATAGCTGAAGGAAAGAATTAAAAAGCCCACAAATTGCCATCTATTTAGGTGGTAGTGTACAAGGTGATGACTAATGTGCATGTGTTAAGACATTCAAAGTCAGTTTTCCTGGATGACATGTGCTTGTGTGCTTGCTTTGCCTAAACAAACCTGGCCTGACTCAGCCCTGCAATATCAGGTCTGATGGAAACTACTTCCTCCCATAGCCTTGTAATGTAGAAATTATTTCATGAATGAGGAAACTGAGGACTAGTAACATGAATATGTATCTTATTAAACAGGATGTGTACAAAAATTAAAAGAAAAAAGGCAAAGAGGAAAACCTTCCGGGAAGGGGGCTCAGCAAATGTGGAATGCCGCACCTGGCCCATCTAAGATCTCCAGATCACTTAGTTCAACCCCTCACTCTACCCACCTGGAAACTGGTATCAGAGAAAAAAGCAACTCGCCCAAGGTCAGACATTTATTCCTGGTGGAGCTGGAACACAAACACGTGCCTTCTGGCTGGTTTTATTGTGCCTCTGTTCTGATAGATTTGCAACCTTCAGTTCACTTTGCAACTGATCGTCTTTCTGCCAAGTCTGTTAAACGTGGTTCCAATCTAGGCCAAGCAAAATGATATGAGGTCTTTTTTGTGTTCCTGGCATTTCCACAGAAAAAAACCTCTTATTTTTCTCCTATGTTGATGATGTTAAAAGCAACAGGACTCTGTCATATCTGTGAACCTCACTGACAGTCCTAGGTTAGGAGCATCCTGGAGAATGGCAGGTTAAGAGTTTTGACTCTACAGAGTCAACAGCTTCATGTATAGTCGCACATCCCCAATCCCCAGCCACAAGACTGGACCAAAGGAAGGAAGTATGTGCATTCAAGAAAGCTACAGTTCACATGGGGGTGACACATGGGGGTGATTTTCATCACAAGAGGGCAGCATGCTCCATTAATTCATTCATTATATAAAAGTGGCCCAAAGAGTCAACAGTGCATGGGGCCTGGCACATTATTATATTTAATTAAGACTCAAACCCAAGTACATTGTGCTAAGAGCAATATTATCTTAAGCCCATTCATCCATGAATTCAAAGATGTCCACAAGTGCAGAGAGTTGGCCAAGGATACATTAAATGAGCATTTGGCAAGTTCTCCAGGGACCAAAGGTTTGGGTTCAAATCCTAATGCTACTAGTAGCAGTGTGACCTTGGACAAATGACTCACCTTTTCTGTACCCGAATTCCCTCTCTGTATCATAGGGTTGATAAAATAGTGTTCCCCTTGTAGGGTTGTTTATGAATAAATGAATTAATTAATCCAGGCACAGTAGCATACACCTGTAATTCCAGCTGTTTAGGAGACTGAAGCAGGAGGAACACAAGTTTGAGGCCAGCCTGGGCAACATAGTGAGACCCTGTTTCAAAATAAAATATAATATAAATAATAATAAATATAAATAAGAAAGGCCAGGGATGTAGCTCAGTGGTAGTACTCAGTCCCTGGTACTAAAAAAAATTAATACAAAGCTCTTAAAAAACAGTCCTATATGTAGTTATGGCTTCCAAAGTGGAAATTCTTGTTACCCAATTAAATTTTTTTCTTTCCAGCATTGCCTTAATGGGAATTAGGATAAGGCTGGCGATAAGAGGAGATATAGTGGACCATCTTTCATAACCCTAAGAGCACCAAGACGACATCACCGTTTCAAATGGCAAAGTCCAGACTTTTAAGCCCAGAGACCAGAAGCCATATTCAAGGTTGAATACCTACCTAAGGGATTAGAACAATACATTGCCCACTTTTGAAACTGTCTTCACTTTTGTTTTGTAAGGGAACCACGCATCTCATGGATAAAGCAGCATGGATTAGGAAAGCCAAAAGCTTGGTTTGCATTATGATTTGATTTCACAGAGAGTAGAGTAGATGATCTGGCTTTCCACACTGAAATGATTTGGCTGAAGGTTCTTTCTTTCCTATCAGGACACGGCTCTCTTTCTGGCATTCTTCTTACTCACTCATGAACATTGCTACTGATTTTCCTGCCTGTAGCAAAAACCAGAGCTGGAGAGGAAGGCAGAAGAGAAACAGAACAAATGGGAGGGTAGGAAGTAGGTGGGTTAATTTCTAGAATCTTGACTTCTATATCAAGTCTTCCTCTTGCTGTGTCTAGGGGGCTTCCAGTGTGTGTGAGGCCATCAGCCTGGCAGTCTGGGCACAGTGAAGTTTTATGGGGTCAGCAAGCTTATCACCTACTGAGCAACCATGTGGAGCATCCCAGTTGCCCACTGCTGCATTTAGATTTCCAACACAATGTCCTCTAGGTGATGTGTAAGATCTTTTTCCACACACGGCATGGTGGCATGTGCCTGTAATCCCAGAGACTCAGGAGAAGGCTGAGGCAGGAGGATCACAAATTCAAAGCTAGCCTCAGCACAGGAGTGAGACTGAAAATAAAAAGGCCTGGGGATGTAACTCAGGCTAAAACATCCCTGGGTTCAAATCTCAGTATTGGAAAGAGAAGTAGGGGAGGGGGGGTCTTTTTCCTTCTGCTGAAATAACGCACTTGTTTCATTTTCCAGAAGGACCCACTGGTGGTCAACAAAAGCCTTCCATTTGATTCAGGAAGTCAAGTGTTTTCAACTTTTTCCTTATCACCCCCGCAAAGACTATTAAAGATACTTTTCTAATCCCCCTCCTCCAGTACATTTTAATACATAGAAACACTGTATATCTCTTTATCCTCCAAAGGGCCACAACCATGGAACATCTAAGTTCTTTTTTGTCTCTTAAGAACCCATTTCTGCCTCCTCAGGGGTGGTATCTCCTTGGTGAGAACACTTGATCCAGTCCAAACCTGAAGGTTCTTCTTATCCTACCATCTCCAAGAATCCCAAAGAGCTATCTGCCTTTCCATACATTATTCAACTTTTAATTTAATAAGCCTTAATGGCTTTAAATTTTACATTCTCTTGCTTTCTTTTCCTTCTTTTATCTGTCCTGAAGGTAGCTGTAATCTAAGTGCAAAAACTTTGCTTATGTCGTAAAAAAAAAATTCTGTTTGCAAAAGGGGAACAATCCCTCTGGACAGCTGTCATCTGAAGCACTCTAGCCCATGCAGCCTCAGAGAAGAATTTTCGAGATGTGTCCCTAACTCCTGCCACCAGCCAGTGGGCAGGACTTGAGGCCACATTTGCCTTTGCTGCTGTCCCACTTCTCTTTCTCACTTCCTGGATCCCCTACTCTCCAGCCCCCTTCAAGACACCCAGATATGTCTAGAATTCCCCTTTTGCAATACAACCCAAGCTTCTGCCTGCCCCAGGCTGCCAACCTCCTTCATCAGCCCTCCCCAAACATCACCACCAAGTTCAGCTCGACATTAGAACATTAGACCAAGTCAAGTAATTCAGGAAGTACAGCTATCTGATGAGCTTACCCCTTTAAATACTTTACGTATCAGAATAAGGGCTGGTTGAACAAAAAAGTTCTAATTAGGCACATAAATGCAGAGACTTAAGGACAAATCTTTGTGTCCCCCCTCAACTGTCATCTGTGCAATCTCAGAAGGATTCCAGAACGTGGTTGGCATTTCTGGAAAGGTTTGATCCCTGCAATGTCTTAAGTATGAGTTGAGAAAGTCCATCTATCCATGTATTCATCTTACACATAAATACTGAATATCTACTTTCTGCCAGATAGTGTGTGCTGTTAGGAGAATAATGGCTAGGGTTATGTCTGGAACTTTTTAACCTGTTTACAAGTTAGTAAGTTAGACTGTTATTGGTTCATGGATGCTGACACAGACACAGCCTCCTAGGTCAGAGGCGTAGAGCTGTGACAGGACAGTAGACAGCATGAGCACCGGCAGGTCTGCACATTTTCCATGCTCCTTATCCCCACAGGGATAGTATGGTGGGGTCCAGGTGGATGCTACACATACATATATAGTGGCTTTGCAGAAGAACACTGAGCATGGGGACCCTGATATGTTACAGAAAGCAGCAAGCAAGTCTGCTGTCTCTCCTGGAGGAAGATGATAGTTCAGACCTCAAGATATCTATGATCAACATAATATCTGCTGGGAAACAGCCTGGGAAGAGTAGTCAGGGCCAACAATTGTCCACATAGCCAGCAACAAGGATGCTCAAGATGCAGGCAGACTACCTCTCCCAATAGTGAGCTAAAACACAGGGACCCTGCCCTCCTACCATGTCCAGTCTACTGGGGAAGATGCAAGTATTTATTCAAATCATCAGTCAGCCATAAATATCAAATTACAACCATGATGAGGACTCAGAGGGTCTATCATAAGGTACATTCATTGCCCCCAGAACAGGGAATATGATATGAGGGGAGGAAGGTGAGAGATTCAGTAGTCAAAACAGCCTGGGAAAGGCCCTGTGGTTGCTGAAAGCCTGGCCACTGCAAAGGAGCATGGTTCAGGAGGAGGAGCACAGCATGGGCATGGCTGGGAAGAACAAGGTAGGGGCCCATTCCTGGACAGGCCAGGATTTTCTTAGACTATAGGTCGTGACCTGCTAGGGGGTTGTTTTGGTATAACCCTGATTTCTGTTTTTAAAGGTGAAGCAGAATGTCAGAGTTCATCAGAGAGTAGCTTTGAGAAGCAATATGGATCTAGAGCCAGAAAGACACTAACTTGTTAATAAAGCATAAGTATTGTTTTGTTAACACTTTTCTACATAAAATATGTGCCAATTATACTGAGTCTCAATATAAGTTGTGTTTCTTATTATGGGTAAAAGTTTAAAAAGTTTAAGGGTTTTGGTCTTTGAGAGTCAGTGAAGCCACTACAAGGTTTCAGCAGAGGAATATGGTGACATCAGGTTTATATTTCCAAAGATGCTTTGGCTAATGTATGGAGATTGGGTTGGGGGCCTTGAGGCAACCGCTGAGTTGCTCTTATAGTTGAGGCAGAGTAGATAGTGGCTAATGGACAGTTCTGGAAGGTGGCAGTTCTGGATTCTGACATTGAATACAGAGGTTTTGAGAGCCAGTTTTTGTATTCTGTGGTTGGGGCTTCAATCAGCATCGGAGTCCACCTGGAATATTAGTGCTCTCAGTTAGGACTTTCCTGTTTGCAAATAATAGAATCTTCCTTTGAGTATCTTAGGCAAAGGGGGAATTTTATAGGATGAATCCTTTAAATTCATAAAAATTTTTCCCTATAACCTAGAGGCTAGAAGATCAATATGGAAAATGGGCAGGAATCAAGACTGTTCTGGAAGGCTTAAAAAGTGGCACAATCAACATGACCAGGACTCCTGATAGTACTTTTATCTTTACCCATATTCAAAGCTCTGAGCAAACACATCCAACTGAGCAAGTTTAGTCACAGGCCATGCCACAGCTGCCAGGAAATAGGGCAAGGGAGGGCGTAGGCCCTTTGTTTTCCACAGTAGGAATTGGGGTGTTATCCCCCACACCCCACTGCAAGACGACTCACAGGGCTAGGTTCTCTCAGAAGAAAAGGGCCCTGAATTCTGAACCACCACAGTTCAACACAAGTCCATGATAATTTCTGATAGGAAATGAAGGACTTAAGCATAGAATTTTGGAGAAGGAGTGATGGTAAGGGATGTGATAAAGATCAGCCTCTTCCCTATCTTCTTGGCACCACTTCAGCTCTCCCTAACCTTAGGGAGCATGAAAAACTTTCTAAAATGTGACTGAGATGGCAGGTGAGAGGGTACTTAATATACTTTAGAAAGATGAATTTGAGCCAGGCACAGTGGCACATGCCTTGGATCTCAAGTTCCAAGGACAACCTGGGTGATACAATGAGACCCTCAGCAATTTAGTCAGATGGTTTCAAGATAAAATTTAAAAGGAGCTGTTAAAAGTTCCCCTGGGTTAAATCACCAATACCATTAAAGAGAGAGAGAGAGAGAGAGAGAGAGAGAGAGAGAAGCTATATTTGATGTTCTTTGTATCTACATATGTTGAAACAAAGTTAAACCTTATTTTATTTGTGTATTGATCTACATTTTTTTTCAGTTTAATTTTTAAAATTTTTATTTGTTATATATGACAGCAGAATGCACTACAACTCATTGTACACAAACAGTGCACAAGTTTTCATGTCTCTGTTTGTACATGGTCTTTATTTTATTACTATAATTAAGTCCTTAAGGCTGAATAATTTTATAAAGACAAGGGGTTTATTTAACTCACAGTTCTGGATGCTCAAGAGATGCATCAGATTGGCTCCAGTAAGGACCTCAGGGAAGATGGTGTCACAATGGTGGGAACACATACAAGAGGAAGAGAAAATATGGCCAGCCAGGAGAGCCAGAGAACTCTGGAGTGGCTGGTCTTTTTTTTTTATAACAACCCTCTTTTAAAAA